ATTCGATCAATGTTGAAGTGTATGTTTGAACGTATTTGGCAATATGATTTCGCAATTGAAACCAGTTGGAGAAAAAATTTGCAACAAGCGTGGCAGTTATGGCAAATATCCCCCAATGAGGCAACTTGTGAGGGAAGCTTATGTATGTTCAACGGTGAACTTTCATAGGCCGTAACGAAATTAAAAAAGTGTCACTGTATAATGTTTTGTGTATGGAGTGTAGAGGTAAGGAGAACAATCTCTCATAGGAGAGTAGTTGAAAAAGTGTCCATCTGTAAGCAATAAATAACAGTTCAAAAACTCTCCACAACAGCGCTGGAGTAGCTACTGGGATGAAATGAACTTAGCAGTTGTCGATGGTTTGAAGTGTGCTGCTAAACTGCTCATCATCATCATCATCATTACAGCCCTTCACAAGTCCACTGCTGAACATAGGCCTCCCCCAAGGTATGCCACAAAGCACGGTCCTGAGCCACCTGCATCCATCGACTTCCTGCATGTCTTACCAGGTCGTCACTCCATCCAGTAGGGGGTCGCCCTACACTTCGCCTACCGGTACGAGGCTGCACTCGAGTACCCTTTTACCCAACGGTTGTCGGTTCTTCGAGCTATATGGCCGGCCCATAGCCACTTCAGCTTACTAATCCGTTGGGCTATGTCGGTCACTCTGGTTCTACTGCGGATATCCTCATTTCTAAGTTTATCACGCAGAGAAACTCCAAGCATAGCACTCTCGATAGCTCGCTGAGCGACTTTGAGCGTCCTCATACGGCCAGCAGTGAAGGACCACTTCTCGGTTCCGTAGGTCATCACTGGCAACATGCACTGGTTGTACAACTTAGTTTTCAGGTTTCGAGGTATACCTGACGAGAAGATGCGTCGTAATTTCCCGAACGCTGCCCAACCGAGTTGAATCCGTCGATTGACCTCTCGGTCGAAGTTGGACTTACCTAGTCGGACTATTTGTGACGTACCCTAGGTAAACGTACTCGTCAACAACTTCGAGCTTAGTGCTCCCAACAACTACCGGCATAAGTGTGACATGGACATTAAACATGATCTTTGTTTTGTCCATGTTCATCTTAAGACCTATCTGTTGGGAGGCACTATTGAGGTCATTGAGCATAGTGCTTAAGTTCTCCAGCGATTCTGCCATAAGGACTATATCGTCGGCAAATCGAAGGTGAGTGATGTACTCGCCATTGATGTTAATACCGTATCCTTTCCAGTCCAGTAGCTTGAAAACGTCTTCCAATGCAGCGGTGAAGAGTTTCGGGGAAATAACGTCACCCTGTCTTACACCTCCCTGCAGTTGGATAGGTTTCGTACTCTGGTTCTGTACTCGGATAGCCATCGTAGCCCTACTGTACAAACATTAAGCACTAAACTGCTCAGTAGCTCTAAAATCTAAAATAATTTTATTTAGTAAATATAACCTGGAAAAAGTCGTCTCCATGTAAAATTTATCCCGTAGCTATAGTGGCGCCACTCTTATTTTACAGTTTTCTATAGACACTTTTTAATACACAGTCTGCACTTCTTACTTCTACACTCCATAGTTTTGTGGACGCTTTAATATTTTTTGTTTAAGGTGAATCCCTGACCAAAATGTTGCGAAAGTGCGTTTTTCAGACTCTATTATCTAATTAGTTATGAAAAATAAACTAGATCTAAAAGTACATTATTAATGTTCGATATCTTATCATCGCATTCCACGTTCTAATTTATTTTTATGTGCTATAAATACATTTAAAATCAACTTTTAAAAAATGACTAAAATTCTTGATTACATGCATCTGTTGCTAAACGCAACGCTCTAATTATTTGAGGATAACACTAATGGATAGATAATTAAAAAATCTATATTCTCCACGTTTTATTTAAATTTTTAAGTTCGTTTTTTCTCTTTTAATTGAAATAATTCCGAAAATTGTGTGACTTCTATGATAAAGGGGCGTGCGCAGAGTGCGGGCGGCATTACGCTGTATGCGTTCGTAGGAGGTGGCCGCGTCGCTGGTCGCCGCGTCCGTATTTCGCCGCAAACATGATATTATTTGAGTAACTACCAACCGATGCGCTTACGTCACGGTATATTGTAACTCGGCCGTATCTTAGAAATAAATCTTACAGCCGTGCGGTACGTAAACATGCGACAGGGCTGCCTGCCTCCAGCATTTTTACATTTGCCCATTGATTTATGTGTTTTATAACTCAATGCATTTTCCTACTTTGTGTTTCCATTTAGTTTTATGATTGTACTTAAATATACTTTTTTTATATAAACAAATATATAATAGGTACTTTGTGAATTGAATAGGAAGTGTTCAATAAAAATGCGTGTCGTTTTATGATTGGTAGATTTAATTAAAAAACCATGTTTATGTTTGAATAACAAATCGGTCTTATAAATTTGCGGCCGAAAAACATTTGCGCCTCGGCTGAGACGTACGAAATGCTTTATTATTAAAATTTGAAATATAAAGAATCCGCATTATAATATAGAGCTTAATTAAAAATTGTTTTGGGAAACATGGACAAGTTGGAGTAAAGGAATATCTTTTACTTGGTTATAGATACCTGCAGCTACTTTACAATTTATATGTTTGGTTTTAAATGAAGTTTGGATTTATTATTTTGTTATTTCTATTCTATTTTCTGAAAGGGTCCTAGGAAAGGAATTATCCACCGCGCTGCCCCACTGCGTGTTGGCGAACTTCGCATGTCTTCGAAATATTTTTTTTCTTATTTCTCAGACATGCAGGTTTCCTCACAATGTTTTCCTTCACCACTGAGCACGTGGTAAATCAACACTTAAAATTGCAATTACAATATTATTGGTGCCGGCGGGGATCGAACCCGGTTTGCTCGCACACTGTGAAAATTTTAGCAAGTGCTAACCATCTGAGCTACCACGGCTCCTCTCCTCTCGAGCTAGAGACTTTATTTTATTTATCGTCAGGCCTGTTGGTCTAGTGGTTAGTGACCCTGACTGCTATGCCGCAGGTTGTGGGTTCGATTCCCACCCAGGACAAATGTTTGTGTGATGAGCACTTCAAAATTTTATTGTGTGAGTATTTTAAACTATTTTTACGGATTTGATGAACCATATTAAATAAAAAATAGTCTCCTATCTTTCTCTCTATGTTTTGATCTCCTAAAACGAGTTTGAGTTGGTAAAATCAAGGCAAACTTAGGGTAGAGTTGTCAATTATTATTTTGATAATAAAACTAGTGAAATTCCGCGGTTTTATATGCGCAAGCGTGAACGTAGTTAGAACATAATATAACCTTTATGTTTTACATAAATATCCTAAAAAAACTTATTATTTTAATATGTTACTACCTATAAAATTAACAAGTTTATTGCGTTTTTCTTTGAGTAATTTTTTATGCAATTTCTTTATCTACGTCTATTTTTAGGAACCTTTATATAATCTGAATCATAAATAACACTATATTACTTACTTATACGTAGTTTTCTTTTTTGCAGTTACAAATATCTTGTGAGGTTGAAAAAGGCAGTAATGAAAAAATAATAAGAATAATAATAATTGACGTCAGCCACTTCTTTTCATAAAAATTTCAGATCATGGTCCATTAGGTTGCAGCTTCACCGAACCACAACTTATAATAATAATAATAACAGTAATAATATAATATTATTTTGTATTTATTTTATTTTATTGATATTTATATATATTTATCTTTTCATTTTAATTTATAATTTTTATATATTTAAATATTTATAGAACCGAACCAGATGAGAAAATTATACGGCTCCAACGATTTTAGCGACGAACGCTTGGATTTATTTTTAGAAAATGTCCCTTTGCCCATGTTTTCAGGCAATAAAAAAACTGCTACAATATAAGAAAGTAAATTTCGACAAATCACTAACGGTCGTTATAGCTCAGGTGGTATGTCGGTCGGGCGTTATATCGGAGTTCCGTGGTTCGCGTCTTGGCTTTGGTCCCGCTTTTTTTTCCTTTTTTTTTCAAGTTCCCTTCTTTTGTGAGAAAATCTATTATTTCAAACCCTTTTTTTAGTAATTTTTAAAAATACGAAAATTTTAATTTTAAAAATTTTAAAAAAATATCTATTTAGTTACTAATGCTATATTTATTATTTTAATAATTACCTACCCAGTAGGTAAATATTAAAATAATAAATGTAGCATTATAAACAGTAAATCTCCCTCAAACTCAATTTACTAATATTGTTCCTAAATAAGGAATAGCAGATAAAAGATTAGTAGGTAATAACTATTGCTCCTCAAAATTATATTTGACCTCAAGGTAAAACATATCCTAAAATTCAGTAGCTAAATAAAATAATAATACCTACTATTCAAGTATATTTTCAATATGTAAGTAAATGAAAATAACAAAAATGAAGCACCATTAGCATGTAAAGTTCGAATCCATAATTAATATTTCGACAAATATTATAATTTACACTATAAAAAGCTAATTCAATATTAGCAGTATAGTATATAGTTAAAAATAATCAAAATAGTCATTTTTATTAATTAGATAATATATTAGAATACATAATTCTAATATAATGCAACTAATATACCGAATAAAGAAAATTAAAATACATATAATAGTTCATTGACATTGACAAAAATAATACTACGTTCGTAGCAGTAGGTGGCGTCTTTTGGCGATTTCTTACGTGATATATTGTAGCGAGCGTCGACAGACCAAACGCTCAAGGTCGTTCGCTGGAGGTATCGCCTTAAGTAAATAATATTAAATTGACTACATACCAATTGCAATTTATTATTCTCTCATATTTTATTTCTGTAAAGCGTTTGGCTAAAAATCTCTAAGACTTAATTTGAAACTTGGTATGCAAGTAAGCATAAAAGTTTTTTAAATAAAAGTACTTTAATAAAATTTTACTTATTTGATTTGTCTAAGTTCTTGCACATCTATGTTTCAGGACCACTGGCCCTACGCAAATTCACCTTTGTAGAAAGAAGACCACTACGACAGATGAAGCACTCAACAGAACATGTACCGTCAACCACAAAAGGTAGATATCTAGCTAGATCAGTGATGATTCTAATTGTTTTGAGCTTCTGTTTGAAATTGGTTTCATAATGATTATTTTCTGTGCAATTATATACATACGTATACTTTCTATTTCAGATTTTGCGGTTGATGCCATAGCTACATCCAACACTTATGCTCGGATGAAAGAAAACATAGGTATATTCTTCTTTTTAATACTAAACTAAAATGCAACAGGCGACATCATTTTTGCATTGCTTTATCTTTTGCTGGAGTAGGATGCAACTAAATAGGTACAAACTAACTAATAACTTTGTCTTCCTCAGCATAACGAGAGAAACATCGTAGCGCACTGCAGGAAAGAAGAAATTTTGTGACATGAACTATTTTTATTACAGAATTTTTTCACAAAACCAATTTTTCACCATTCTCACCTGTGAGTACTCAGATGGAATGCCTCGTTTCCAGTAAAAAGGGTCTCCGGTTCTCTACACTCACCATACTAAACACAGCAGCATTAAGCTACTATTTGATGCTGGTATTCTGTGACAGCGTGGCCCCTCCCCGGTCGAGCCGACCCATGCGTGCTACAACTATATTACTAATATAATTGCATCATGGCTCTACCAAATGTCTAAATCTACCATGTGAAATAGCATATTCTTTTGAGACTTTTATTCTGAACCTTATTAGTTTATTCATGTACTGGTCACTGCACTAGAATACTCTTTGTGGTAAAACTGTTTATCTCCGTTTAGTTGTAGTGTGATATTTTTGGAGATGCAAATTTTTTATAGATCTGACAACTAAAATCATGAAATTGCCACACAAATTAACATACTGATTATTTTTATTCAAGTTTTATTATAGTATATAGATATAGATACAGATAACTTAGTGTCTTGATTTGTTTCTTATTTTTAGTATCAGTACTTAGCATTGTAATACACATTATAATATTATATACCTTCTGTGTACTAAATATCGGGAATTTGTCAATAAAACAAAAAATACAAATTATTCATTTAAATTTATTTTATCGCCTTCAAAGTAGGCTCCATCGCTTGCAAACAACATCTCCAACGCTTCACCCAGTCTTCCATACATTTTTCATAGGCTATTTGCGGTATGGCCTTTAGCTCATTCAGCGAATTTTTTGTTATGGCTTCTATCGACTCAAAACGTTTTCCTCGAAGTGGTAATTTTAACTTGGGAAATAAAAAAAGTCAGACGGAGCCATATCAGGTGAATACGGTGTTTGGTCGAGAACTTTTGTTGAATTTTTCGCTAAAAACTCTTTCACTATAATGGCTGTGTGTGATGGTGCATTATCATGGTGCAGCATCCATGAGTTGTGTTGCCACAAATCTGGACGTTTTCGGCGGATACTCTCACGCAAACGCTTCATGGCGCCTAAATAATATTCTTTATTCACTGTTTCTCCCTTTGGAAGGAATTCGGAGTGAACCACACCACGGTAGTCAAAAAAAAACTGTCAGCATCACCTTGATTTTGGAGCGACTTTGCCGCGGTTTTTTGGGTTTCGGCTCGTTTTCGAGACGCCATTCTGAAGACTGTTGGCTTGTTTGCATGTCGTACTCATAAACCCATGTCTCGTCGCCAGTTATTATACGTTTCATAAAGGTCGGATCCGTAGAAGCTCGGGAAACCATGTCTTCAGCGACATGCTTTCGCTGCGCTCTTTGAACAAAATTGAGCTCTTTTGGAACTAGTCGAGCGGCAACGCGTTTCATGCCTAAAATGTCAATGAGAATGTTGTGGACGGACTTAAAAGATATGTTCACCTCACTAGCCAACTCTCTCAGACTCATACGTCGATTTTCGAGCACTAGCTTCTTGATTTTGTCGATGTTTTCTTTGGTCGTAGCGGTTGAAGGTCTACCAGAACGAGGCAAGTCTACTACTACTTCTCGGCCTTCTTTAAAAGCCTTATACCATTCATAAGCCCTTGTTTTCGATATACACGATTCGCCGTTGGTATTTCGCAACATTTTTAGTGATTCACCACATGAAATATCATTCGAAACACAAAATTTAAGGCACACTCTTTGTTCAACAATATTTTCCATTGTAAAAATCGCCGAGAACTCAAAACTATGACCAACAAAAAGTGTAGTTTAAAACAAATTAAATGACAGATCCAGCTCAAACTTTGCGCGCTAAATCAGTACAGTGCTACCAACATGCAGTAAAAAAATTAGAACGACCTCTTTTACGCGGGTCTTTTTATTGACATATTCCCGATACTTTTTACACAGAGTAGTATGTTGTAATTTTGCGTGATTCCAACAAACACTTGCATTGTTAAATAGGTTGTTTCAGATCCATCTGTCGACATACCAGGGATGTGTCAAATATTGTAACTGATATAAATGTAGCGGAGAAAGTAATACCAGAAGTGTCAAACATTATAAAAGAAAAGTGTTGCTTGAGTGAGCACTAAAAAGTACTAGATTGCTTGTATCAGAATATTGTACATGCCCTAAGCGATGCGGCAAGTAAGTCTAGTATGACTCGTTGAGGAAGGAAGAGTAATAACAGCCATTTACATGGGTGGAAAAACCATGTTTATGATGTTCACAAGCAGGCCGGGCTTAATTATCAAGTGTGGTTGTTAATTGATCGGCATAAGTCTGGTAGAATCTATGGCCAGATGTACCAGTCACATAAAATATTCAAGTCTTTTGACTGATTTTTTATTTGATTGTATTTTGTTTTAATTTTATATTGACATTACCTAATGATACTATTGTATTATGATTATTGTTTTTAGTTTGATTTTATTGTGAATTCATTTTGGGTTTATATTTGATTTTAGTTTCGATATAATTTGATTTTATTTAATGTTCTCAAATACTAACTTAAGCAAATAACTTATGGATATTTGACATATTAAATAAGGAATGATTAATATTATTATATGTAAAATATTAATTCCTACTATCATAAGTTAAGGTAGGAATTAACTACATATAAGCTAATATTGGCATAGCTATTATTAGTATTGATAAACTTATGCCATTACGCTGTTTTATTTATGTTTCTAATATAAAGTTTTTTTGTTTCTAGGGTGCACTAAAAAAGGAAACCAAGACCATTGTTTCCAAAAAATATCAAAGCTGTTACAACATTAGAACATGATTTATGCCAGAAGCTTATTCAAGTGATAAACAAACTAAGCAAGTAAAAAACAAAGTTAAAAAGCAGTCTGCAAGTCTCAAGGCGGCGAAAAAACTGACTTCTAATCCTGCATTTAAAAAAGCCATTGATAAACTGCCTAGCATAGCTAAGATATTAACTTTACTGCAGATCAGGGAAATTAAAAAGAAGTACAAAGGTCGACGATATTCTCTAGAGGAAAAAATTGTAGCTTTGTCGATTTTAAAACAAAGTTCAAAGTGCTATAGATTTTTATTTTGCCAACTCCACAAACTCTCACAAAACTTTTAAACCATGCAAATGTAAAGCCAGAAAAAAAATAAAAGAATATTTGCTCAGATCAAAAAAGCTACAGAAAAGTTTAAAGTTGAAGAGAGACTGTGCATAGTTTTATTCCACGTAATGACATTCAAAGCCTTCAAGACAAAAAATCTTATAATGAGCGAAATAATTAGTTTCGCCATTAATGGCCGGAAAACTAGACCTGATTATGCTGATCATGCATAAGTGTGCATGATACGCGGATTGATAAAAAATTGTAAACAACCCGTATCATATACATTTTCTGCGGGAACAACTAGTGGACCGGAATTAGCAGTGCAACTCAAAGAAGTCATTAAAGAATTACAAGAGGCTGGGCTAATTGTAATAGCAACAGTGTCTGATAAAGGCACCAATAATAGGCATGCCATTAAACTTTTAATACAGGAGACAAGAGGGATTTTATAGTCTGGACGAGAGCCTATAGAGAATATGTTTCTTGTCAATGATCAGGAATTCATTCCACTATATGACCCTCCCCATCTAATAAAGTGCACTCGTAATAATTTAATAACGAAAATCCTAACATATCTAGCAAGTGATCAGCAAATTCGAACAGCAAAATGGCACCATATTAAATTGCTACTCAAAGAAAACCCTGGATACAAAGGTATAAGGCTAATGCCAAAGCTCACAGACAATCATGTCATACCAAATAAAATTTGAAAAATAAAGGTCAAATATACCACACAAATCTTCAGTCAAACAGTATGCACAGCATTTATATGTGGTAGAACCATGCTGCAGTTATATTAGTAGTATAGTTGTAGCACGAATGGGTCGGCTCGACCGGGGAAGGACCACGCTCTCATAGAATAGCGGCTTCAAATATTAGCTTAATGCTGCTGTGTTTCGTATGGTGAGTGTAGAGAACCGAAGACCCTTTTTACTGAAAACTGAATATATTCTGATTCTTGATGTAGATGTCTATGGGCCACAGCAACCACTTACCATCAGGTGGACTGTGTGCTCGTTTGTCATCCTATCCTATAAAAAAAGCATCCAATATGGGATATTTAGCAGGTAAAATGAAGTAACTTTATACATTAATTACTCATGTATTAAGAAATTTTAATGTTGTGAATAAAGGCAACATTTAGACTGTGGCAGTCACAGCCCGATAGGCGCGACCTAGCAACCACGGCCGTGATTGCGGCAGTTGGCCGTGGTATTTAGAAGAGTGCTAAGATCCGAATGCACTTCTATCTAGTCTACACAAACTTTTCATATTATTTTGTCAAATGTTGTACCCACAGAAATCTAAATAATAAGACAATAGAAATGCCTTCTACTGTCTTTTAATATCGGGACGCGTGTCGCCAGATCGTAGCTATCACACATAGACAAATAAATACACAATTACGCCTACAAACATCTATAGCATTCATGAGACAAGGATTAATCTATAAACTATTGCGTTAAGGAATATTTTATAAAAACGCAAAATCTCAGGAGGCGTATCAACTCGGTCCAATAATTAAAGTGTGCGAAAAACAGATAATGATATTGCGCGCTCGCTCTCACTTGGACATAGTGCAGCCCAACGCACGTTTCGGTAACTTTCTATTAAGTGTCGTTGATCTTCCAGGAGTCACACACCAAGATATAAATAATTAACTGAAATTGTCTCAGTAATAGACGCTTTTAGTATTAGCTTTAGCTTTTAGACGTTTTATAATTAAAAAAAGGGGAATAATAATACGTTAAGAATAAATATATCCATTTTTAGGGTTCCGTAGTCAACTAGGAACCCTTATAGTTTCGCCATGTCTGTCTGTCCGTCTGTCCGTCCTCGCTTAATCTCTGTGACCGTTAGCACTAGAAAGCTGAAATTTGGTACCAATATGTGTATCAATCACGCCGACAAAGTGGTAAAATTGGAAAAAAATGTTTTATTCGGGTAGCCCCCCTATATGTAAAGTGGGAAGTGATTTTTTTTTAATTTCAACCCTAACGCGTGATATATTGGTGGAAAGGTATTTAAAAATGAATAGGGGTTTACAAAAACCATTTTTTGATAATGTCAATAATTTCGGAAATAATCGCTCCAAAAGTAAAAAACAATGTGTGTGCTCCCCCCACCCTCTAACTTTTGAACCATAAGTTTAGAAAATATGAAAAAAATCTGAAAAGTAGAACTTTATAAGGTTAGGAATATCATTTTGAACTTGGATGGAAACAACAGTACCCACTACCGGGAGCAGTTGCAGGAGCGCGGAGCGCTGCTGGAGCGCGAACATAATGGATACCCACCTTTAAACTCATAAGTGGGAACACTTATGGTGACGGACGGGAAACTACGCAACCCTACACTGAGCGTGGCCCAACACGCTCTTGGCCGGTTTTATTTATTATCTTTACTAACCGGATCTTTTGGAAACTTGTAATAAAAGTATTGTATTAAATAAACAGATGTGTAAATAAAATGAATAAAACATTGCACAAACAGCAAACGAATAAATATATGTATGGGTGACATATTTATCATTTTTATTAGTTTTAAAGATCTGAATCTGTTATTTGCTACTTTTCAGTTTCCCGGCTTCTTACAGATCGAATTAAGACTACTATCCTTACAATATAATTACTTATCCTTACAATATAACCGATTAAAAATTTATCAAGTAATTTAAAAGTACAAGCAAACAGATAATCGCCGATAAACGGTAAACACGATATACACAGACAAAGGAATTCTCCCCGAAGAATGTAAAGAGACAGTTGTTCTCTTTTTTTTTTTTTTGATCAACTGTTTGATTCTTTACACGGGAATTATACAAAGCGAAAAAAACATGGAAAGCCATTACTAGGACCTGCAAGACCAAATTCTTGTCATAATAATGTATGGAATAAGGCTAAAATAGAATTGAAAAATATGAAATTTACTAACATTGTAACAGGTAAAGCTAAGAAAGTCCCTACGTTATAAAATTGGGTATGGACACTAGATGGTGTTCAAATACTTTAAAAAAAAATTTAAAAAAATGATTATGGCGTAACTTCTGTTTGGAACCTAAACCAAGACCCTATAGAAAACTTTTTCGGGGCTATTAGAAGCCATGGGTTCCGCAACACAAACTCCACAACAGAAAGGTTTGAAAGTGCCTAAACTAGCTTATTAACAAATAACATATCTAGTGTCCATGCCCCTCGGCCAAATTGTGAAAAAGACTATTGTGAAGTTTTAAACACCCTCATGATAGATGACTGCCAAGCCACGGTGACCAGTGAAATTGAGAGCATACCCACAGTGCAAGTAACTGACCTAAGTCAAAAGAAAAATGATCCTCGAGTGTTAGGCGCTCTACAACGCGCTAAGGACATGGTTACCTCTCAAGAAAATGAATATATTAAATGCCGAGAATATGCTGGCAGACGTTGGCTTGTCAGTCCTTCCGAATCTCTCTTCTCTTGCATATCTGCAATGCAAGACATTACCAATGAAATTTTAAAACGTCATTTTTATTATGAAAATTAAAAGAATTCATAAAAACGATATTATTTCTACATTTAAATTTTTTTGTCAATCATTTCATCAATAATTTAATTTGATTTTTTAAATTGTGGTCAACACAAAGACAAAATTATAGAATTTATTATAAATATATCCTGCAGATTGTTCATAAACAATTACTGTAATGTAAACAAAATATTAAAAGGGAAGAGAGACTCCAATGATTATGAGGACGTATTTCAAATAAAGGTGAAAAAATACTCCCATAAGTGTTTTAAAAGACGAATTAAATGAATAATTTAAACACATTGTGGTTTTATTGTCGTAAATTTTCCCCTCTAGTACAAAAAACTACTTTACCTTATTCCGTGTGTGCATATAATGTAATGTGAGAATATATACACTAAGTAAAGAAAATGTACTCAGTATAATCTCAAATCTCAGTGTAATACACACGGAATAAAGGGAATTAGTTAATAAAATATTAACAATGAACATTTAAGAAGGCATCGTACCTATGTATCTATGTCTAGTTATATATACAACTGAAAATAGTTCCATATCATTCATGAAGATTCAGCACCGTCATTGTCGATTCCTATTTGAAGGCGTCGAGAGAGACCTCTATAAAATTTATACCACTTTTTTTGAGTCCGCGTCGTCGTTTTGACGAAGGTTAGTGATCTAGGGTTAAAAAGATCCCAATAACTTTGAATATATATGATGTGTGACAATATGATACAACAACATGTAAAGAAGTTTTTAAACAAATTATTTTAAGGGATAATATTTTTTTATTACATGATACTTGCAAAAGAACGACTGCACAAGTCCAAGAAAAGCATTTTTTAAAGTCTAAAATGCTTCACGATCAGTTATATAAGTCTACTGCTGGATACAGAGTAGAATTGGATATAAACTCACAAGTAGACTTTTTATTATAACAGTTACAATTTAACCTTTTAAAATACACAAGTAAAGTCTCAGAAAGCTTATGTCCATGCATTCTTATCTTATGATACCCTAATTAGACAATGTACATCACATTTTTTGCGGATTCCCATTCAGTGCTGCATAGATTTTCAAATCCCGAAAATAATCCAGAATTATTCAGATCTTGGATTTATGCTGCGGGTGGTGATATTCTTGATTTAGATAATCAATATAATATCTACAAACTTCGGCGTGTATGTCATGCTCATTTTGAACAAAAACATTGCTGCCGTTACAACAATAGGATTAGCCATGCATTCTTATCTTATGATACCCTAATTAGACAATGTACATCAATGACGACAATGAATTAGTAAACATATTTGTGCCAACAATTAATTTACTTAGTGAGATACTTCATTGTATTAAATAATTAAATATGTAATAATAATAGATAAAATTATATTACGATAAAATATAAATTCCTGGTTACTCCCCGCAATGCTTTAATTGATTGATGAACAATTTAAAAATGTTTCGTAATATAATCTTAATTTAGTATAGCAATAACGATAATGACAATTTACTTTCATATTTGTTTGTATCCAGGACCACTGGTCAGTCAAAAAGTTAATGTTTCTGAACGTCGAACATTGCGAGCTAAAGAGAATTCGTTGCTTGGAACTCCATCAAGTTCTAAAGGTAAATAAATACTATTTTCACCCAAGTCTTATTTTACGCCTATGTTTTAAAATTTGAGAACAATGTGATGTCTTAGTCAATCGTAAACCGATTTTGATGTTTTTTTTTTTTATAAAATAGGCCTTTTGAGTGATCCCATTTAAATTATAAGAAAAGATTTTCCGCCTAAGAGTGGAAAAATAAGGGATGACGTTATGAATGTTGCTATTTAGACGCATTTAAGTTATTATCTTGATTTTGTTTGCTTTGTTGCCCTTTGTCTTAGTTAGTCTACTCAAAAGTCACATAATTTAACTTATAATAAAGGTTTAAATTATACTTTATCTATACAATACTAATATGTCTATATTATGAGGATAAAATTATTTTTTTAACTTGTTATACATTTTAGCACATAACTGTTCATATAAAAATTGAGTTACTATTGATAGGTTTTCTCTTAGTTAATTTAATAAGCATAAAGTTCATTTAATATAGTTTATTTAAGCAATTGACTTTTTATTGCTAAATGCATTTTATTGGAATGGCAACACTTAAGTAAGGGAGGGGATGTGGTCAGTTGCACGAGGCGAAGACGGCATTAAGTAAGTAAGGAGGAGTATAGGAAGACGGTTGTCTATTACTAAGCATAGAATAAGACCAAATAAGTGTAAATTGTAGTTTGAATCTAAGCCTTAGGGCACAATAAACGTGTAAGCAGTAATCAGAGTATTTTATTATATTTCAGAAGTGGTAAGTACCCGTTTCTTTTGTTATACCTTCCTTTGTTACTTATAAACTGTTTCTAAAGGGTAAAAAAAGAAAGTCCTTTAGCTTTAAAAATGCTAAAATCTCTTAATAAATTAAATAAGAGTATAAAGAAAAGACAAGTATGGAAAACTATAAGTTTTAAAATATGTACGGTAAAGCCGGGATAAGATGAAGACCGAGGGAAACGTTAAATAATTTGAGTTATTGAGGTTTTTACTTGCTAAGGGTTTAAGTTAAGGAGTTTTTTATTGCTTTATGTTTGTACTTGCAGAGGTTCGCTTATGAGCTTTGTTTGGGAATTATCAAATGTAAATGTAAGCAATACACTAAGGACGTGTATTGTTTACCTTTAAAAGCCATTCGGTAAACGAGTGTAAGCAATAAAAATGGTCTAAAGGGAACTTTTGTCGTTCGCATAATAATTACTATAATAATTACTTACTTATGATTGAGTACTTCTTATATTTTTGTGTTCTAATTTTTACCCAGATATGTAAAGGTTATAATATTGCACGTAAATAAAACAAAGAGGACATGTTTGTACTAACTTAATAATAAAATAGTAATCATAAGTTAAATGTGAGTATGGCGCTACCTAATATTGTATCTCAAGCACAAAGTAAGATTACCCATTGCTAGATATGACTGTAGTGCTGGGGTACAAGGGGATGCAAAATTTCGTTATTTTTGAGATAGTATAAAGCGGTTTTTGAGACACCTACTTAACAAATGTCACAAGTCATTGAATGTATTCATTGTTGATTTTGTTTCTAAGTTACAGAAAAAATGCAGAGTGAAGACAAATCGAATACTCGACGCCTGGAGACTCCGGATCGTGGGGAGTCCAGACGACTAAGGGCCGATGACAGAATCCGAAGCAGTCGTAGCCACACCCGATGCGACAGCATTAGGAGTTTTCACGAACGCGAGCGACTCCAAGCAGTAGAGTCCAAGCACTAGCTCGCGAACGGGAGCGGCTACAAAATCTCCAGAACGACCTGATTGTGGAACGTAGAAAGCTACGCAGCGTAAGTAAATATCATGATTTCGCGCGTCATGATTGGTCCTATATTTCTGGGCGTGACGCAACCACTGGACATAATATACCTTTTAGAAGTAGGACACTCGACCGAAGGGTGGATGATCGCCCCAAGGAAGGATAATCCTAGAAAATGGCCAACTATCTTCCAGTCCTTCGTTCTCGACTAAATATGTAGCTAATATTCTTAAATCACTTAAAAGCCCATCGAACGAAATACTTCAAAACGTTAGTCACTGTTAAGTAAAATTATCCTTTATGGTTACAATAATTAATATAAAAATAATTTATTAAACATCACTAAGAATGTATTTACCTTTATTCCGAAGCAAAAATAAATAAATATCTTTAGTTTCTGTTTTAAAAATTCATAAAGTTAAACAAAATTCTAAAAATGGTATGTTGCCGTTTGCTTAAATTTTTATCGAAATTAGTTCAATTATTTCAAAACATGGAATTCATATTAATCTACAACGTATGCACTACAATTAGTTTTCTTTTTACATTTTTGTATTTGGCTTCGTGATTTAGTTAGGAATTTTCTAAGAAGCGTCCCAAATTCGCCAAACATTTAGGTATGAACTCCGAATTTAAATATAAATGCGAACGCTCGCGATCGGGAAATCAGTCAGTTTCTGTATATATTACTCTCACCGTTACCAGATTGGGGTTTTTTTTCGCAATTCTGGGGAATAAATTGACTCTTGGGGAATAACTGGGGAAATGGAATCTTTGGGGAAACCTTTGGGGGGAAAAATACATAATGGGGAATTTTGGTGGCTAGAATTTTTAAAACGACAAAAAGTGCAAACGGACGTACTTTTTGTTCAGCTAATATATCATGGCTAAAATGCAAGATTCCAGAGCTATATAAAAAAACGCTGTGTCTATGTCTGTGTCTGTGGTGTGGTGTTTGATGTTTGAATTTTGAATGTCGTTGGTTGTAGCGTTGACGAGATACCTAAATACCTAAATACATATTTCTTGTTTATTCTATATAGTTTGTGTTCTTGTTGTATTGTTCTGTCGTGTCGATTGATATTTGATACACTTATTAAATCAAGTGATATGAAAAATGGCTCGACGATATAGACCAGTATGGGAAGCGGAACCTCAATTTGCAGGTGAGTTTTATTATAAAAAATCTAGTACATAGTTATAACTTAAAAATGTAAATGTAACCAAAAAAAATATGAATGAACATGTTGTTATTATGAGTAACGATCATATAATAGACAGAAGATATATAAATATCTAATTAATCAGAAGTTAGAGCAGTCGAATACTCAAACTAATTTTGTTTTTAGAATTTCCAACGCGTAAATTCGTGTCTCATTTTTTTTGGAGTTTATGGCCTGGTATCTAGAAATTCGTGTCTCATAAACGGCGGTAATGTTACCAGCTACCTACACTTTACACTACACTTTTTACGGGAAATGATGGGCGGGCATGTGTATTTTGATTTTTTTTTATTAATTTATTCGTGACCATGGTTGCGAGGACCTTCAGTCGAAAACATTACTTTATAATTATCCTTCATAGTTCACTGCTTCACAATATGTTGATGCGTCACATTGTGCAGTCCTTGGGAGATTTTGACGGCAACTTGAGCCAGCAGGCAGCCGACAGTTGGCGATGGTATCTAAAGGCGCCTATGCAACAAACAGCTTATCTTGAGAATCCATCACCATCAGAGCACTTGTTTCACCGTTTCCACTAATAGTTCACATGCGTAGACAGTTAATACATAAAATCGCACCACTTTTACATATCAAAATCCACTTCAAAATATTATTTAAACTATAATACAGGAGCAGCATACCGCCGCCGATCAAGTTCCCGCCAAAACTCCGGGTATTTTGATTGTGTGCTAGTGTTACCATTATATTTAAAAAGCTTTGGTGGGAAATGAGAGTAATATTGTGAGTACGGGTGCGTGTGCGTGTGGGTTTGGTTTAGTGTAACTGTACCTAACTAAACTAACTGCTAATATTTAAATCAAAAATATTTTTTCTAATATCTAAATTTGGTTTCAGGTTGGCTTACAAATGTGGAGGGACAAGCATCAAAAGCATTTTGTAAGCTTTGTAAATGTTCATTACAAGCACAGAAAAAAGATTTATCAAATCACGCTAACTGCAAAAAACATCAAGAGGCTTTTAAATTTTCTCAGCTTGGAAACAGTAGCAAAAAAATCAACACTTTTTTTAATAAAAACATAACTTTTGAAAGAAAAGTATCGGAACTCAAAATTGCAGCTTTTATTGCAGAACATTGTTCAATTTTAGCAGCAGATCATCTTGGCGTGCTTATTTCTGCTTTGGACAAATCATCTTCTGTACTAAGTGACTTGAAACTCCATCGTACTAAGTGTGCTGGTCTAATAAAAAATGTAATATCACCATGCATCCTTGAGGAATTAATAAAAGATATTGGCGACAGCAATTTTTCCGCAATAATAGATGAGAGCACATGTGTTGACACGAAAAAGACCCTGTGTATTATGATACGTTACTTTAGTAAAACAACATTCAAAGTTAAAACGGTGTTTTACAAGTTATTAGAGATTGAAGCCGGCGATGCTGACACACTAGTGAAGGCTTTTAAAGACCAACTTTTCCAAGATGGCTTAGATATAAAAAAATTAATCGGCATTGGCATAGATGGTGCAAACGTGATGGTCGGCGAGCATCATTCATTTTCATCAATACTGAAAGAAATTGTACCGCATGTGGCTGTGGTTAAATTTGTCTCACACTCGTTGCATCTTGCTGCTGAAAATGCTTGCAAAGTGCTTCCAACACATTTAGAGTTTATAGTAAAAGAATGTCACAATTGGTTTTCTTATTCTACAAAAAGACAAAGTGATTACAGACTTATCTATGAAATATTGAGTGGAAAAAAACCGCTAAAAATTGACAAATTGTCGGGTACACGGTGGCTATCTCGCATTGAGGCAATCACAAAAATACTAGAGCAGAGTGGGATGCACTAGAACTTCACTTCAGGCTAGCAAAAGAGAAAGAGAGGTGTTACACAGCATCCCAATTACAGCTAATGCTTGCGTCAAAGCCAAATAAGCTGTATTTATTGTTTTTAAAGCAATCGTTAAAGGCCATAACCGACGTGAACAAAATGTTTCAGTCAGACAATGTAGATTCTCTGAAATTGTTGTCAGAACTGACTGGATTACTATTAAATTATTTGTCGATTTTGATTCCCCCTGAACGGTTACAGAGAGTTACACAAGATGAGTTGGCCACATTCAATTTCAGAGACTGTGTTATGAATACTAGGGGCATTCACTTGGGATATTTGTTTATGGAGGAATCTGCGAATGTACCTATACAAGATTTAAACATCATTAAAGAAAGATGTACTTAGTGTCTTATTCGTCTCTGTGAAGAAATCCAAATGCGATTACCAAACAATATTAAATTATTAGAAAAAAATTCAATTTTCTCGCCCCAAATCGCGACAAGCCAAGTAAGACCTAATATTGAAGATATAGTTGTTGGTTTCAAGGATGTGCTTGGAGGAGTGGAAAATGTTGATGCGACGCTGCAAGAGTGGAGAATTCTATCTCTTCAGCAATGGAAAAAAACCAAAACAGCTGACGAGTTTTGGGGAGAAGTGTTGTCATACAAAAATGCTTGTGGCGACGCAGCTTTCTTTAATTTAACAAAACTTGCCACGGCTATTTTAAGTTTGCCATTTTCTAATGCTGCTGTAGAACGGGCGTTTTCTATGATGAACATCGTCAAAAATAAATTGCGAAACAGAATGCTCACGAAAACCGCAGACCATATAATGAGAGTGAGAAGTGCCTTACAAGACCGCGGCGGGTGCACAAAGTTTGAGCCAAGCACTACAATGTTGACTTTATTTAACTCTGAAAATGTGTATCAAACAGGAGATGAAGAGAATGTTAATCAAGTACTTGCTATTTTTAATGAAGATTAATAAAAAAAATCGATAACTATGTACTTCATTCAAATTTTCTTCCTTCATTAACTAATAAAATAAAAGCTGTCTGTTTTAATTATATATTTTTTCTATTGGTAACAAAACTGGTGGTTTTCTGGTTCAAACGTATCATTTTGGGGAAAAATAAAAATCAATTTGGGGGAAACCATAAAATTGTATCTGGCAACCCTGATTACTCTACTCTATGAAATCAGTCGCCCGCGGGAGCTCAGAGAGAGGTCACGTCTGTTTGCGGAGCGACGTGCCTTACCCAAATTTCGCGTTTATTTAAATATAATTTATATATATATATATATATATATATATATATATATATATATATATATATATATATATATATATATATATATATATATATATATCATCTTAATCTTCATACTATTTTGAATAAATTTACAAAATTGTTTTGCATCTAAATCAGCTAAATCCTAGCCAAGGCCCCGGTCTTGTAAAAATTTGTGTTCTCGCATAATTTACAGCAAAACAAATATTTTTTTATGGTAGTTAAGAAAGAAAAAGTAAAACATATTTTACATTTATTAAAAGTGTAGGATTTGAGATTTTCGAAACTGTTTTTTTAATTTTATTTTGGTGTTTAAATTAATAGCTCTATTAGGCGTTAAACATACCTATGTTTAGGTTACATGCGTAAAAGGTCTTATTAAAGCCTCTGCTATGTACAAACTATAACAATATCAAGAAAAGTATTCAGATCACATTTATTTAAATATTGTCTACAATAATCTGATCTGGTCATTTTTTTTATAAGTGCTTTAATTTTCTTATTTGAAGGGCTTAAAAAGTTGTAATTTCATGAATTTTTTTCTGCAAATATCTACTTTTTTCTATTAGAAGTATAAATGTGGCAAAGTCGTACTTAAAGCCACATAAAGTATAACTATTTTCAAGTAAATTAGAAATAAATAAAATTAAAAAAAGTTATATTTTCGTACCTTTTACCTATATACCATTTATAAACTAGAAACGCGTGAAAGTTCTCTCAGTTCCGCTGGGATTTCTCGGCGTTCAGACGTGTGCTGTGTTGTTCAACGTTATTTTACCTCTCGCTCGCACGGTTGATCTCTTTCACTCGCGCAGCTCTTATGGACTGACAGGAGCATATCGTGAAATTTGCTCTACATAAATATATATTATTTTTATTTAATTGTACATATTAGTTCTAGTTTTTAGTGTGTAAGTGTATTAGTGTTTATATTAGTATTAGTGTGTTAGATTAATAATTGACTTTGACTTCTATTTGGTGAATTTCAATTTACAACCAAAAGAAATAAATGGAAAAAGATGGATGGAAAAAAGGAAATATCCTTGTATCAGTATAAAGAAATGTAAAGCAAGAGTTGAAGTGATGAAAAGAAACAGACTAAGCAGGTATGTTGAATACCACCTAGGTATAGGGGAATAATATTGATATAACTATAGTTAACAAGTGTAATTTGAGATATTATTTATCGCATTATCTATACATACGTACAATGTGCTGCTACAAAGGCGACGTTTATATACGTGGTAGAGCCATGCTGTAGTTATATTAGATGTATATTTGTAGCACGAATGGGTCGGCTCGACCGGGGAAGGACCACACTCTCACAGAATACCAGCGTGAAATAGTAGCTTAAGGCTGCTGTATTTCGTATGGTGAGTGTAGATAACCGGAGACCCATTTACTGGAAACGAGGTATTCTATCTTAGTCCTCACGGGTGACAACGCATCTGCATTTTGAGCGCAGGTAGCGCAGGTGACGCGTGCCCTGTGAACGTTTCCGCGTAAAAGACGCTTACCTATTGTTATATTTATTGTAATTAGGATAGTGATTAGTAGGGTTATGGTACTGCCATAAAGACGCTTTGTTTTCTAATCTAGTAAGTACGTTTACATTTCTTGCGACACGGACGCTTTTATTTGCTCATTACTATCGGTATTGATGATGAGCAATTGTTTGGAAATATTCTTATCTGTCTTTATGTTTGTACGTGTGTGTTTAATTTATCCCGAAAAATGCAAGGTCCGTCTCTATTATAATAGAATTCATTAAAATAATATTATTTTTATTTTGTTTGGATTGTCAGTAATTTATTTACGTGACCTTTATTCTTTTCAGCAATGTCAGTGCCACTGCGTCTACGGATCGTCAACCGATGTCAAATTTTAGCAACACTTGCCCTCCAGTAAATGATATTATGTCATGGTAACATTTTCTGTTGTTACCTTTTTTGATTAAAATATATACTTTAATGCCATATTAACTTTAATACTTACATATTATACAATACATTTAATACTTTTCGTTTTAGTGATCAAGAGAACAAACCTCAATATTCTTCTAAAAGTATTTTAATACCAACTAATGGTTCTAAGGAAACAAAAGGACAAGATGTAGCAAATAAACCCCAAAATGAAAACTCGGTACATATACAGTTATTTTTGAGTTTTTTTTTATATATATAATTAATTAGCCAGTTATCGTGCATAAAACACATGTTGTACATGTTTAATATCTACAATATCGCATTTGTTTTAAAATTGTTATTCCTTTTTATTTATGTACACAAATAAATACTTGCAGTTTTTCTATTTAAAAAGCTAATAATAATATTTATTTTAGGTTAATAAAAAGGGGCGAAAACGAAAAGCCACCAGTGGATTGCCTTTTAGAAAAGTTAAAACCAAGGTAATTCAAATATGATAAATATGGGCTCATAAAATTTGAATCTTAGAAATGTAAAACAAAGCTATTATTTTTTTTATTTTAGCGCCAGCCGTCCGAACGTGAAAAGGGTGATTGCTTCGACTTCAATGTAGAACGTGAAAAAATGTGTAGTAAAAAAAGAGGATTTTGATTTAGAGGGACGTAGAATTGTCTCTATACGATACTTTTTACTTTCTCTGCAAGCAGTTGCTGATCACAGTCATGAATTAAAATATACTATAATATATATAAATAGAATTTCATACGTGGTAGAGCCATGCTGCAGTTATATTAGTAGTATAGTTGTAGCACGAATGGGTCGGCTCGACCGGGGAAGGACCACGCTCTCACAGAATACCAGCGTGAAATAGTAGCTTAATGCTGCTGTATTTCGTATGGTGAGTGTAGAGAACCGGAGACCCTTTTTACTGGAAACGAGGCATTCCATCTCAGTCCTCACGGGTGCCAACGCATCTGCATTTTGATTTTTAATGGAGGATAGATGTAGATGTCTATGGGCCGCAGCAACCACTTACCATCAGGTGGACTGTGTGCTCGTTTGTCACCCTATTCTATAAAAAAAAAAAAAAAAAATGAATCATTTGGATGTAGATTTTCAAATTTGAAATGCATCGGTGAGACCAGAAAAGGCTTTATTTCAACGTTGTGCTTGAAATGTCAATTATGTAACGCAGAATTTAACATAAGCAAAATAACCTTTTGGAAATACGACAAAAGAATATATTCAAAGTAAATAAAAACCACAGCTATTACTACCAAATTCAAGGTCAACTTAATATAACGGAACAAAATATTTGCGTGTTTGCAGTTTGGACTAGTGAACATCAACCGATGAAAGTAGAATATATAGCAAGGGATAAAGAGTTCTGGGAAACAAAAATGCTGACCCCTTTGACAAAGTTTTACCACAGTTGTCTGCTACCAGAACTAATTGATTCGCGCCTTGAACGTTCTACGCCGATAAAAGACCCACCATTTATAACAGAAGCAATAGAAAATAAAAAGCATAAAATATCCCCAAAAAGTTAACCCCTACACCATACACAAAACACTCGAAAAAACTTTCTTATTTTTAATCTTGTCACCAACTAAAAAAATAAATATTTGTGTATTTAGTTATTCTTTTGTTTGAATTTTTTATCGGTTACCTTCTAAATTACTTCGCTATACGATTTTTCTTTAAAAAAACACAGGTATAAGCGCTATTTGTATGTTCAGTTTGTATAAAGAAATCATATACATCCGATTAGACGGGAGGAGTTGGAATTATGAACCACATTGCATACAAAAAAAAATTAAATTAAAAAATTTACTTATTCATAATACAAAATGTACAAGGTAGAGTCGTAATTTGTATGAATAAAAACAAAAAGCAGTATTTTTTTCCTTCGGTTGTATTTACCCTTTTTAAACTTAGAACCCGTATAAATACGACTAAAACGACATTTATAAAATATAAAAGGGTAAAAAATTATACTACCACAACAAAAGTAAAAGGAATATTTTGGAAAAATATTAATAAGTTATATATTTAATGAAATAGAGCAACTTCACGTGCGATCTCGAACGTATTTATGCACGGGGGAGAGCGCCCCCTCTAATGGCTGGAATTGTAAAACAGCACAGCTAGACGGAAGCCTTAAAGAAACTGTTCATAACCAAAGGTAGCTAAATCCACACAGTTTGGAAACAAACACAGCTAAAATTGCGGCTGGCCAATCACAGGTCTACATTGTCGAAATAACAAGATGGCTGATCTCATACAAAACAGTGTGTGCGTGGGTGTGATGTTTATCGAAATTAAATAGGATTTCGCATCTATTTCTTATTAAAAACGAGTGGAACGACAAATAAAAAGTGCAATGGAAGTGCCTGTAGCAGAAGCATTGCCAGGGAAAGGAAAAAAGCGTAAAAGACAGCCGGAGAAATGGAAGGCGAACAAAGCGAAAACTGACAGGTGAGCCTAGACTAGTGATGTACTTAACCCGATGGAGTTCGATCGATCGATCGATGTTTTTGTTGTTCAGTATAAATTTTCCTATTCTGTTTTATGTATTTTAAATTAGGTACATTATAATGCAAAAAAAATGAAAATAAATAGGCTATAACAGTAATGGTCACGTTTACTTGTTTCACAGGTACTCGGCGAAATCTTTGCCAGAAAACATAACCTGCAATCATAACACTAAATCATTTGCGTGTAAACAATTAAAAATACTAGATCTCGTGCATTTTCACAGATCGTTTTACTCAATCAAAACCCATCAAACATCATCAAGATGCGTTAATATTAAAGTGCTGTTCAGTGAAGAAAACAGAAAGCGGCCCGTAAAAAACGCTAGAAAAAGTAGAGATTTTGCGATTAAATACACAATTTACGCAAAGTCACTTAAGAAGGCAATTCCAGTTTGCCAGAAAGTATTTTTAAATACACTAAAGATAACGAAGTATCGTGTTCAGTTCGTCATGCAAAACTTCTTTAAATCTGGTCGGATTCCAACAGAAAAAAGAGGCGGTGACCACAAGAAACAGAAGTATGCAGCACAAAGACAATCAGTTCATGGCTTTTTAAAGTCTTTAAAATGCGTTGAAGCACATTATTGCAGCAACGTAAATACCTACCTAATGAACTCAATGTTAAAAAATTATTTAAACTTTTTAAACAAGTGCACCCAAAAAGGCCAATCAAACCATCTTACTTTAGATCTATCTTTAATGAGGACTTTAATCTTGGTTTTGGGAGTCCAAGGACGGATGTATGCTCGAAATGCATTGAACTGCAAGAAAAACTGAAGAACGAAAATGATCCATCGAAGAAAAGCCAACTGATGACCGAGAAAAGGATACACAAACTAAGAGCATAAGCATTTTTTAAATTATTCAAAGATAAAAAAGAGCAAATGATTCTTTTCTCATTCGATTGCAAAAATAATTTGCTACTTCTAAAAGTACCCGACCAGAGTTGTTACTACAGCAGACAGCTGTATCTGTATAGTATTCAAGGGATCTTTCGATGAACCCTGGACGAAATTTCATCGAAAGATCCCTTGAATGAAAACACCACATTTGCATACATCTGGACAGAAAATGAATACGCTAAAGGTTCAAACCAAATAGCTTCCGCTGTATACGATAGGTTCAACAAAACTGACCTGACTCATGTAACCTACATCCGTTTAGTGACAAATGGATGCGCAGGCCAAAACAAAAATTTAATTATGATTTCCATGTGCATGCGTTGGATTTTGGAAAATCGACAAATAAAGCAAATGGAACTAGTGTTTCCTGTGACAGGCCATTCTTTCATGCCGCCTGATCGTGTTTTCGGCAATATTGAAAAAAGTATCCGAAAAATGGAGGTGATCACTTCTCCAGAAGAGTACGTCGATGTAATCAGTCAACACTATACAGTTGCGAAACTACGGATATACCCGTGCTTTACTGGAAAACTTCTATTAATAGTATCGTAAAAACACCGGCTCAAATCCACTTCAAAATTTCTCAGTGTAAAAGATTTATTATTCGAAGATCCAAAACTCAAGGAAGTGTGTTGGTACGTGGTGAATTGTATTACAATTCTGACATGGGACACCCCAAAAGTTTGTGTAAAGCAGGCAAAAAAGCTGAAGCTATACGACCAACAATAATTCCTTCTGGCATAGAAGTGAATCCACTAAAGTCGAGATGTCAGAAACCTTCTTCAAAAACACTATGGTGACTCTTGGAAAGATCTTGCACATTTAAGATATTTCCACGCCGTGTTGAATACTCTAGACGAAGATGAGCTTCGGCTATTAGAAGAAAGAGGAGTTGAAGAAGAAAACGATACTGTACGAGATTTTTGTGAGGTTCAAGAAGAAGATAATTTGAGAGTATAACAATTTAAATAATTAAGATTTAATTATAAAAATAATACTTTTTCATAAATATTATTTTATTTACATGTGGGTCTTCAAAACACTTCAAAATGCACGTATTTTGGTTATGTTATACATTTGAATTTACATACTTTATACACATATCTTTTTAACGTTGACTATAGCTACGATATGACAAAATTTTTAGAAAAAGTTAAAACATACATCACTAGTCTTGTGACGTCATCACCAAAACATTGCAAACAAAAACAACTATATCCAACACAATCAGAATCAAAAACAGCTAAATCCTTTAGTTGGTATCAAATGCAGCCAAGTGATTTTAAAATACCGCTAAAAATTAATTTTATCATTAGAGTGACTGAGGTGTGTGTGTTCAGTGGTACCACCATTCCAAATACTTTTTCGTTTTTTTTTCATCGTGTTGCCACAGTAAAAATAAAATAAAACGTTTTTTCTGTTTTACGAAAAAAATACCGAGGTGGATATAGCTGCCTTTGATTCTATACGCCTCATATATATATATATATATATATATATATATATATATATATATATATATATATATATATATATATATATATATATATAACTAAGTAAAGAAAATGTACTCAGTATAATATACACGGAATAAAGATAACTTAAACTAACTTTGAATATATATGATGTGTGACAATATGATACAACAACATGTAAAGAAGTTTTTAAACAAATTATTTTAAAGGATAATAATTTTTTATTACATGATACTTGCAAAAAAACGACTGCACAAGTCCATAACCAAAGCAAAAGAAAAGCATTTTTTAAAGTCTGAAATGCTTCACGATCGGTTATATATGTCTAGTGCTGGATACAGAGTAGAATTGGATATAAACTAACAAGTGGACTTTTTCTTATAACAGTTACAATTTAACCTTTTAAAATACACAAGTCAAGTCTCGGAAAGCTCATTATGTCCATGCATTCTTATCTTATGATACCCTAATTAGACAATGTACATCAATGGCGACAATGAATTAGTAAACATAGCTGTGCCAACAATTAATTTACTTAGTGAGATACTTCATTGTATTAAATATGTAATAATAATAAATAAAATTATATTACGATAAAATATAAATTCCTGATTACTCCCCCGCAATGCTTTAATTGATTGATGAAAATTTTAATAATGTTTTATAATATAATCTTAATTTAGTATAGCAATAACGATAATGATAATTTACTTTCATATTTGTTTGTATCCAGGACCACTGGTCAGTCCAAAAGTTAATGTTGCTGAACGTCGAACATTGCGAGCTAAAGAGAATTCGTTGCTTGGAACTCCATCAAGCTCTAAAGGTATGTAAATAAATACTATTTTCACCCAAGTCTTACATTACGCCTATGTTTTAATTTTAAGAACAATGTGATGTCTTAGTCAATCGTAAACCGATTTTGATGTTTTTTTTTATAAAATAGGCCTTTTGAGTGATCCCATTTAAATTAGAAGAAAAGATTTTCCGCCTAAGAGTGGAAAAATAAGGGATGACGTTATGAATGTTGCTATTTAGACGCATTTAAGTTATTATCTTGATTTTGTTTGCTTTGTTGCCCTTTGTCTTACTTAGTCTACTCAAAAAAGTCACATAATTTAACTTATAATAAAGGTTTAAATTATACTTTATCTATACAATACTAATATGTCTATATTATGAGGATAAAATTATTCTTTTAACTTGTTATACATTTTAGCACATAACTGTTCATATAAAAATTGAGTTACTATTGTTAGGTTTTCGCTTAGTTAATTTAATAAGAATAAAGTTCATTTAATATAGTTTATTTAAGCAATTGACTTTTTATTGTTAAATGCATTTTATTGGAATGGCAACACTTAAGTAAGGGAGGGGATGTGGTCAGTTGCACGAGGCGAAGACGGCATTAAGTGTAAGGAGGAGTATAGGAAGACGGTTGTCTATTACTAAGCATAGAATAAGACCGAATAAGTGTAAATTGTAGTTTGAATCTAAGCCTTAGGGCACAATAAACGTGTAAGCAGTAATCAGAGTATTTTATTATATTTCAGAAGTGGTAAGTACCCGTTTCTTTTGTTATACCTTCCTTTGTTACTTATAATAAACTGTTTCTAAAGGGTAAAAAAAGAAAGTCCTTTAGCTTTAAAAATGCTAAAATCTCTTAATAAATTAAATAAGAGTATAAAGAAAAGACAAGTATGGAAAACTATAAGTTTTAATTTATGTACGGTAAAGCCGGGATATGATGAAGACCGAGGGAAACGTTAAATAATTTGAGTTATTGAGGTGTTTACTTGCTAAGGGTTTAAGTTAAGGAGTTTTTTATTGCTTTATGTTTGTACTTGCAGAGGTTCGCTTATGAGCTTTGTTTGGGAATTATCAAATGTAAATGTAAGCAATACACTAAGGACGTGTATTGTTTACCTTTAAAAGCCATTAGGTAAACGAGTGTAAGCAATAAAAATGGTCTAAAGGGAACTTTTGTCGTTCGCATTTTGTTCAGATAATTACTATAATAATTACTTACTTATGATTGAGTACTTCTTATATTTTTGTGTTATAATTTTTACCCAGATATGCAAAGGTTATTAAAGGGTATATTGCTCGTAAATAAAACAAAGAGGACATGTTTGTACTAACTTAATAATAAAATATTAATCATAAGTTAAATGTGAGTATGGCGCTACCTAATATTGTATCTCAAGCACCAAGTAAGATTACCCATTGCTAGATATGACTGTAGTGCTGGGGTACAAGGGGATGCAAAATTTCGTTATTTTTGAGATGGTATAAAGCGGTTTTCGAGACACCTACTTAACAAATGTCACAAGTCATTGAATGTATTCATTGTTGATTTTGTTTCTAAGTTACAGAAAAAATGCAGAGTGAAGACAAATCGAATACTCGACGCCTGGAGACTCCGGATCGTGGGGAGTCCAGGCGACTAAGGGCCGATGACAGAATCCGAAGCAGTCGTAGCTACACCCGATGCGACAGCATTAGGAGTTTTCACGAACGCGAGCGACTCCAAGCAGTAGAGTCCGAGCACTAGCTCGCGAACGGGAGCGGCACAAAATCTCCAGAACGACCTGATTGTGGAACGTAGAAAGCTACGCAGCGTAAGTAAATATCATGATTTCGCGCGTCATGATTCCCTATATTTCTGGGCGTGACGCAACCACTGGACATAATATACCTTTTAGAAGTAGGACACTCGACCGAAGGGTGGATGATCGCCCCAAGGAAGGATAATCCTAGAAAATGGCCAACGATCTTCCAGTCCTTCGTTCTCGACTAAATATGTAGCTAATATTCTTAAATCACTTAAAAGCCCATCGAACGAAATACTTCAAAACGATAGTCACTGTTAAGTGAAATTATCCTTTATGGTTACAATAATTAATATAAAAATATAAAATAAATAAATATCTTTAGTTTCTGTTTTAAAAATTCATAAAGTTAAAAAAATTCTAAAAATTGTGTGTTGCCGTTTACTTAAATTTTTATCGAAATTAGTTCACTTATTTCAAAACATGAAATTCATATTAATCTACAACGTATGCACTACAATTAGTTTTCTTTTTTACATTTTTGTATTTGGCTTCGTAATTTAGTTAGGAATTTTCTAAGAAGCGTCCCAAATTCGCCAAACATTTAGGTATGAACTCCGAATTTAAATATAAATGCGAACGCACACGCTCGGGAAATCAGTCAGTTTCTGTATATATTACTCTACTCTATGAAATCAGTCGCCCGCGGGAGCTCAGAGAGAGGTCACGTCTGTTTGCGGAGCGGCGTGCCTTACCTAAATTTCGCGATCTATTGGTGTACGCATATTGGTCCTGCAGACGGCGTAAAGTTAGTCATTTTTTTAATTTTCTGATTTAATTTATTTTGTAATATTTTAATTAGAATTTTTTGTTTATAATTATCATTTAGCTATACATTATATATGTATATATATATGTGTGTGTGTGTGTGTGTGTGTTAACGCGCACCCTCAGACACCCCAATTAGTATATTGTGTTATAATCATAATACATACACTGAATTTTTAGTTAAACATTTTTATGCACTGATTATTTGTCAAATTAGTTATACTAATTCCGGAAGAATGTTGTGGTCACAGTACAAATCCACGAACGCAGAGACTTTAACGTGCTTTTCTTAATTTTTATTAAATGACAGAATTAGTAATAATAGAAATAAAACTACACTCTTAAAAGTCTTATTGCCTTAAGTTACTGTCCATTTCAGTTTGTTTTGACTGTACCGTGTTTAGTGTGACTGTAAAAATGATAGGAATCGATTCAGTAAACGATTCTGAACAATCTACTTATGTTACATGTTGTATATGTATGTATATGTATATATGTATATATATGTATATATATATATATATATATATATATAAATAATATCTTATATTTATATATATATATATATATATATATATATATATATATATATATATATATATATATATATATATCGATATTATTTTAAATATAATAATTTTTATAATTTGTTGTAGAAAAAATGGGGAAGCGTAAGGAAGGATATTTAAAAAAAAAGTGGTGCTAGATTTAAAAAGATTTCTCACAAGACTCCTGTCAAAATTACCTTAAATGATTTTGCAGAAATTACACATAAGTGCTCTATAACAAAGTTATTAAGTAATAAAATATGGTTTACCATAGTATGTACCAGAGCCGTTCTAATAGCCTAAATGAAACGTGGTATTTAGTAGGTATAGGTATTTTGCCCCAAATTCAGTCCTTATTTACAATTCTGATTTGGCGCTGCAGGAATAAAAAACCAAATTTGTATCAAAATAGGCTATTATAACTTTATTTTGGCTATAACTTGTGAAGCAATGGTGATCGACCTCTCGTGATTAGTATCAAATGCTCTACTCGTTTCTTACGTCAATTTGTTTTGGGCTAATATTAGTAAACCAATGGTGATAGACCCTAGTGTTTGGGCTCAAATGAAAGGACTTGACAAGTTCTACACGTTTCTCACGTCGGTTTATAAATCAATTTTAAAGTGATTATAAAGATTTTATAGAGTTTAATAATTTCATCCGAAACATTTTATATCTACAATAGCGTAAACCATAGACACCCGTTCAGGATATCAAAGTAAAAGGAAACAGAATAGTGGATTTTGAATACCTTTTGGACCAAATGCGTGAAATTTCAAATCACAACTCTGCTCTAGGTTGTAACTTCAGTTTTTTAAAACTCACAAAAGAGGTCGGGAAAGGGTTTATATCAAAATGCTACTTCGTTTGTCGAATGTGTGGAAAAAGTTAGAATTAATAAACTGTAAAAATCCTGATAACCCTGCCGATTTCAATATTAATGATAATGCTGTGGCTAGTTTCATGTCAACAGGAACAGGTTTTTCTGGTTTAGAACACGTGTCTGCTTCCCTTAATATTCCCAGTATGTCAGACAAGCTATACACAAAATGTCATAATAAAGTATGTCAACTATGGGACCTTGCTAAAGAAAAATGCGTGAGCGAAGCTGCAAAGAAAGAACACGATCTAGCTGTTCTCAATGGGGAAGTAGATGTAAATGGAGTTCCGCTGATAACTGTAGTAGCTGATGGTTGTTGGTCCAAACGATCATATAGCAAAAACTACAATGCTTTATCAGGCGCAGCAGTTATAATAGGCTACAGGACAAAGAAATTTCTCCACATGGCGGTCAAAAACAAATATTGTATGGTTTGTACTAGAGCTGAAATTAAAGAATTCGATTACCAGAACACATATGCTTTAAAAACTATGCAGGTTCTTAAAGTGCTATGGAATCATCAGCTTTAGTTGAAGGTTTCAAAACATCAATGGAAACTCACGGTCTCATATATTTTAGATTGATAGAAGGTGGTGATGCCAGCACACACATAAATATCGAAAAAGCAAAACCTTATGGTAATCTACTGGTCGAAAAGATTGAATGTACAGATCATTTATTAAGAAATTATTGTACAAAACTTGATGAGCTGACCAAAAATATTCTTGTCATAATAATGTATGGAATAAGGCTAAAATAGGATTGAAAAATATGAAATTGACTAACATTGTAACAGATAAAGCTAAGAAAGTCCCTACTTTATAAACTTGGGTATGGACGCTCAATGATGTTCAAATACCTTTAAAAAAATTAGAAAATTATTATGGCGTAATTTCTGTTTGGATGCGGCACCTAAACCAAAACCCCATAGAAAACTCTTTCGGAGCTATTAGAAGCCATGGGTGCCGCAACACAAACCCCACAACACAAAGGTTTGAAAGTGCCTACACTAGCTTATTAACAAATAACATATCTAGTGTCCATACCCCTCGGGCAAATTGTGAAAAAGACTATTGTGAAGTTTTAAACACCCTCATGATAGATGACTGATGCCAAGCCACGGTGACCAGTGAAATTGAGAGCATACCCACAGTGCAAGTAACTGACCTAAGTCAAAAGAAAAATGATCCTCGAGTGTTAGGCGCTCCACAATATGTGAGTGGATATTTTGTACACAGTGCTAGGAAGAAAATATTTAAAAATTGCCAGCAACGCGCTAAGGACATGGTTGCCTAATAATTTAAAGACATTGTGGTTTTATTGTTGTAAATTTTCCCCTCTAGTACAAAAAGTATCGTTAGATTATTTTGTTTATTACATTCTTTTATTTTATTATATAACTACTTTTCCTTATTCCGTGTGTGCATATAATTTAATGTGAGAATATATATATATATATATATATATATATATATATATATATATATATATCCATCTTAATCTTCATACTATTTTGAATAAATTTACAAAATTGTTTGGCATCTAAATCAGCTAAATCCCAGCGAAAATTCACGTTAAAGAAACTGTTCATAACCAAAGGTAGCTAAATCCACACAGTTTGGAAACAAACACAGCTAAAATTGCGGCTGGCCAATCACAGGTCTACATTGTCGAAATAACAAGATGGCGGATCTCATACAAAACAGTGTGTGCGTGGGTGTGATTTTTATCGAAATTAAATAGGATTTCGCATCTATTTCTTATTAAAAACGAGTGGAACGACAAATAAAAAGTGCAATGGAAGTGCCTGTAGCAGAAGCATTGCCAGGGAAAGGAAAAAAGCGTAAAAGACAGCCGGAGAAATGGAAGGCGAACAAAGCGAAAACTGACAGGTGAGCCTAGACTAGTGATGTACTTAACCCGATGGAGTTCGATCGATCGATCGATGTTTTTGTTGTTCAGTATAAATTTTCCTATTCTGTTTTATGTATTTTAAATTAGGTACATTATAATGCAAAAAAATTAAAATAAATAGGCTATAACAGTAATGGTCACGTTTACTTGTTTCACAGGTACTCGGCGAAATCTTTGCCAGAAAACATAACCTGCAATCATAACACTAAATCATTTGCGTGTAAACAATTAAAAATACTAGATCTCGTGCATTTTCACACATCGTTTTACTCAATCAAAACCCATCAAACATCATCAAGATGCGTTAATATTAAAGTGCTGTTCAGTGAAGAAAACAGAAAGCGGCCCGTAAAAAACGCTAGAAAAAGTTTTTGAGATTTTGCGATTAAATACACAATTTACGCAAAGTCACTTAAGAAGGCAATTCCAGTTTGCCAGAAAGTATTTTTAAATACACTAAAGATAACGAAGTATCGTGTGTATCAGTGACGAATGCATGCAAAACTTCTTTAAATCTGGTCGGATTCCTACAGAAAAAAAGAGGTGGTGACCACAAGAAACAGAAGTATGCAGCACAAAGACAATCAGTTCATGGCTTTTTAAAGTCTTTAAAATGCGTTGAAGCACATTATTGCAGAGGATCATCGCAGCAACGTAAATACCTACCTAATGAACTCAATGTTAAAAAATTATTTAAACTTTTTAAACAAGTGCACCCAAACAGCCCAGTCAAACCATCTTACTTTAGATCTATCTTTAATGAGGACTTTAATCTTGGTTTTGGGAGTCCAAGGACGGATGTATGCTCGAAATGCATTGAACTGCAAGAAAAACTGAAAAACGAAAATGATCCATCGAAGAAAAGCCAACTGATGACAGAGAAAAGGATACACAAACTAAGAGCATAAGCATTTTTTAAATTATTCAAAGATAAAAAAGAGCAAATGATTAAGTTCTCATTCGATTGCCAAAATAATTTGCTACTTCCAAAAGTACCCGACCAGAGTTGTTACTACAGCAGACAGCTGTATCTGTATAATTTTACAGTAGTCCAGGGTTCATCGAAAGATCCCTTGAATGAAAACACCACATTTGCAAACATCTGGACAGAAAATGAATACGCTAAAGGTTCAAACCAAATAGCTTCCGCTGTATACGATAGGTTCAACAAAACTGACCTGACTCATGTAACCTACGTCCGTTTAGTAACAGATGGATGCGCAGGCCAAAACAAAAATTTAATTATGATTTCCATGTGCATGCGTTGGATTTTGGAAAATCGACAAATAAAGCAAATGGAACTAGTGTTTCCCGCGACAGGCCATTCTTTCATGCCGCCTAATCGAGTTTTCGGCAATATTGAAAAAAGTATCCGAAAAATGGAGGTGATCACTTGACCTGATCCCGATAATTTTCTGGAGTCTCCAGAAGAGTACGTCGATGTAATCAGTCAACACTATACAGTTACGAAACTACGAGATATACCCGTGCTTTACTGGAAAACTTCTATTCATAGTATCGTAAAAACACCGGCTCAAATCCACTTCAAAATTTCTCAGTGTAAAAGATTTATTATTCGAAGATCCAAAACTCAAGGAAGTGTGTTGGTACGTGGTGAATTGTATTAAAATTCTGACATGGGACACCCCAAAAGTTTGTGTAAAGCAGGCAAAAAAGCTGAAGCTATACGACCAACAATAATTCCTTCTGGCATAGAAGTGAATCCACTAAAGTCGAGATGTCAGAAACCTTCTTCAAAAACACTATGGTGACTCTTGGAAAGATCTTGCACATTTAAGATATTTCCACGCCGTGTTGAATACTCTAGACGAAGATGAGCTTCGGCTATTAGAAGAAAGAGGAGTTGAAGAAGAAAACGATACTGTACGAGACTTTTGTGAGGTTCTAGAAGAAGATAATTTGAGAGTGTAACAATTTAAATAATTAAGATTTAATTATAAAAATAATGCTTTTTCATAAATATTATTTTATTTACATGTGGGTTTTCAAAACACTTCAAAATGCACGTATTTTGGTTATGTTATACATTTGAATTTACATTATACACATTTCTTTTTAACGTTGACTATAGTTACGATATGACAAAATTTTTAGAAAAAGTTAAAACATACATCACTAATCTTGTGACGTCATCACCAAAACAACTATATCCAACACAATCAGAATCAAAAACAGCTAAATCCTTTAGTTGGTATCAAATGCAGCTAAGTGATTTTAAAATACCGCTAAAAATTAATTTTATCATTGTGTTGACAAAATGTGTGTGTGTGTTCAGTGGTACCACCATTCCAAATACTTTTTCGTTTTTTTATATTTTATATATATACTAAGTAAAGAAAATGTACTCAGTATAATATACACGGAATAAAGATAACTTAAACTAACTTTGAATATATATGATGTGTGACAATATGATACAACAACATGTAAAGAAGTTTTTAAACAAATTATTTTAAAGGATAATAATTTTTTATTACATGATACTTGCAAAAGAACGACTGCACAAGTACATAACCAAAGCAAAAGAAAAGTATTTTTTAAAGTCTGAAATGCTTCACAATCGGTTATATATGTCTAGTGCTGGATACGGAGTAGAATTGGATATAAACTAACAAGTGGACTTTTTCTTACAGTTACAATTTAACCTTTTAAAATACACAAGTCAAGTCTCGGAAAGCTCATTATGTCCATGCATTCTTATCTTATGATACCCTAATTAGACAATGTACATCAATGGCGACAATGAATTAGTAAACATAGCTGTGCCAACAATTAATTTACTTAGTGAGATACTTCATTGTATTAAATAATTAAATATGTAATAATAATAAATAAAATTATATTACGATAAAATATAAATTCCTGATTACTCCCCGCAATGCTTTAATTGATTGATGAAAATTTTAATAATGTTTTATAATATAATCTTAATTTAGTATAGCAATAACGATAATGGTAATTTACTTTCATATTTGTTTGTATCCAGGACCACTGGTCAGTCCCAAAGTTAATGTTGCTGAACGTCGAACATTGCGAGCTAAAGAGAATTCGTTGCTTGGAACTCCATCAAGCTCTAAAGGTATGTAAATAAATACTATTTTCACCCAAGTCTTATTTTACGCCTATATTTTAAAATTTAAGAACAATGTGATGTCTTAGTCAAGCGATTTTGATGTTTTTTTTTATAAAATAGGCCTTTTGAGTGGTCCCATTTAAATTAGAAGAAAAGATTTTCCGCCTAAGAGTGGAAAAATAAGGGATGACGTTATGAATGTTTCTATTTAGACGCAAGGTGTGAGGGCTTAAGTTATTATCTTGATTTTGTTTGCTTTGTTGCACTTTGTCTTACTTAGTCTACTCAAAAAAGTCACATAATTTAACTTATAATAAAGGTTTAAATTATACTTTATCTATACAATACTAATATGTCTATATTATGAGGATAAAATTATTCTTTTAACTTGTTATACATTTTAGCACATAACTGTTCATATAAAAATTGAGTTACTATTGTTAGGTTTTCGCTTAGTTAATTTAATAAGAATAAAGTTCATTTAATATAGTTTATTTAAGCAATTGACTTTTTATTGCTAAATGCATTTTATTGGAATGGCAACACTTAAGTAAGGGAGGGGATGTGGTCAGTTGCACGAGGCAAAGACGGCATTAAGTAAGGAGGAGTATAGGAAGACGGTTGTCTATTACTAAGCATAGAATAAGACCAAATAAGTGTAAATTGTAGTTTGAATCTAAGCCTTAGGGCACAATGAACGTGTAAGCAGTAATCAAAGTATTTTATTATATTTCAGAAGTGGTAAGTACCCGTTTCTTTTGTTATACCTTCCTTTGTTACTTATAAACTGTTTCTAAAGGGTAAAAAAAAAAGTCCTTTAGCTTTAAAAATGCTAAAATCTCTTAATAAATTAAATAAGAGTATAAGGAAAAGACAAGTATGGAAAACTATAAGTTTTAATTTATGTACGGTAAAGCCGGGATATGATGAAGACCGAGGGAAACGTTAAATAATTTGAGTTATTGAGGTTTTTACTTGCTAAGGGTTTAAGTTAAGGAGTTTTTTATTGCTTTATGTTTGTACTTGCAGAGGTTCGCTTATGAGCTTTGTTTGGGAATTATCAAATGTAAATGTAAGCAATACACTAAGGACGTGTATTGTTTACCTTTAAAAGCCATTCGGTAAACGAGTGTAAGCAATAAAAATGGTCTAAAGGGAACTTTTGTCGTTCGCATAATAATTACTATAATAATTACTTACTTATGACTGAGTACTTCTTATATTTTTGTGTTCTAATTTTTACGCAGATATGCAAAGGTATTAACCTTATTTATTGCACGTAAATAAAACAAAGAGGACATGTTTGTACTAACTTAATAATAAAATAGTATTCATAAGTTAAATGTGAGTATGGCGCTACCTAATATTGTATCTCAAGCACCAAGTAAGATTACCCATTGCTAGATATGACTGTAGTGCTGGGGTACAAGGGGATGCAAAATTTCGTTATTTTTGAGATAGTATAAAGCGGTTTTCGAGACACCTACTTAACAAATGTCACAAGTCATAGAATGTATTCATTGTTGATTTTGTTTCCAAGTTACAGAAAAAATGCAGAGTGAAGACAAATCGAATACTCGATGCCTGGAGACTCCGGATCGTGGGGAGTCCAGACGACTAAGGGCCGATGACAGAATCCGAAGCAGTCGTAGCCACACCCGATGCGACAGCATTAGGAGTTTTCACGAACGCGAGCGACTCCAAGCAGTAGAACGAGAGCTAGCTCGCGAACGGGAGCGGCACAAAATCTCCAGAACGACCTGATTGTGGAACGTAGAAAGCTACGCAGCGTAAGTAAATATCATGATTTCGCGCGTCATGATTCCTATATTTCTGGGCGTGACGCAACCACTAGACATAACATACCTTTTAGAAGTAGGACACTCGACCGAAGGGTGGATGATCGCCCCAAGGAAGGATAATCCTAGAAAATAGCCAAAGATCTTCCAGTCCTTCGTTCTCGACTAAATATGTAGCTAATATTCTTAAATCACTTAAAGACTTACAGTTACAGCCGTCGACTTCGGCCACGGTTGCTATTCATTCCTATTCATTCTAGTAGCTATAAAAATATTTTACCTGATTTTGATCCATCGTCGAAAAATCAACGAATAGATATGTGGTTAAATAAAGTAAACGAGTGCGCGACGGTCTACGGCTGGGATGACAAAACAACAATCCATTACTCCATGCAAAAGTTCCAGGGTTTGGCCAAGACCTGGTACGAGAGTTTACCTTCAATTCTCTTTAATTGGAATGAGTGGCAAGAGAGGTTGATAAATTTCCACATGAATATAACTATGGCCAAGCTCTGGAAGATATGTTGAAACGAAAGAGCAAGTTTAACGAACCTATTGAAGTATATTATTATGAGAAACTGGCACTTTTGAACCATGCGACATTGAAGGAAAGCGTACTGTTGATTGCAATATACACGGCTTAACAGACAAAACTATGAAATCAAGTGCTACCACACTACGTTGTTCACATCCGGAACAGTTTTTAATGAGTAATAAAGAACGCTATCAACGTTTTGAACGAACTTAACCTTTTGAACGAACTTACAACAAATTTAGGTCTGGTATTAATACAAATTTTATTAGTGTTAATAATTATTATAAAATAGCAAATAAAAGTAACTTTGCTCAAAATAATAATGTAAATTATTATTCCCCAATTATAAAGTGCGGTAAATGCGATAAAGTCATAAAACAGAAAATTGTTTCGCTATAATTAACGACGATAAAAGCGACAATGTTCACAAAACCTTGCGTATATCAAACCAAAACCCAAGCTCGTAAGTTTTATAAATACGTTTTTGTAAATGACACTTCGGAAAAGGGATTTGTGGATTTCGGAAGCGAGGTATCGTTAATAAGGAAATCGAATGCTTTATTAGACTGGCAATACTTAAGTAAGGGAAGGAATGCGGTCAGTTACACGAGGACCAGTGTTGCCGTTTTAGCGACTTTTTCGCTAGATCTAGCGGATTTAAACAATGTTTAGCGGAAAAAATATCGTTTTAGCGAGAAATAATTATTTGGCGACTTCTAGCGACATTTGGACTTTTGATATGGCGACTTTTTTTTAATAAAGTAATTCATTTCAAATAAGTTATTTACTTTCATCGTATGTCCAATTTTTAATCTACCGCTCGTTACACTGTATATGTGTTATAATTTAACATGAAATCCCGAACATAAACAATCAACTCAAAGGCGTTCGTTCACTTATCATCTGTTTTGTTTATGTCACTAATGAGTGAGATAAAAATACTGCTCACGTTATCAATGTTTCATTAAGCAGACTAAGCAGACTTATTTCTTTAGAGTTTATATTTTGTGACTGTTGTGTGTGAATATTCCTCGTGAAAAAAAAATTACTTTTCAAGATTAGGCAGTATGGAAGCTCCACTGAAAAAGAAGCACTACACCCAGCATTACAGAAGTGAGTGGGAGAATAATGAAGAATTTAAACATTGACTGAAACCGTACAGGTGACTCAAATAAAGCATTTTGTAATTATTGTCTCTCTGAAATGTACGCGAAATTAAACGACCTTAAAAAGCATTTAGAAACGAAGAAACATAAAAAACATTGTCAATTGCTTTCCCAAAATAAACAACTGACATTTTCTTCCACCGCAACGAAAATATGCAAAGGTTGTTCAAGAGCTGAATGCACATTAGCTTTGTACATTGCTGAACATAGTTCAATTTGCCACATTGACACTGACTTGATTTCGAATTGACTGATTCGAAATCGACTATCGATATAAAATTGCATAAAACTAAGTGTACGCAAATCATAAATGATATATTGGCGCCGCATTTTAAGAAAGAACTACGAAGTGACATAAGTGATCAAAAATATAGTTTACTTTTAGACGAATCAACGGATATAAGCGTCACAAAATACCTTGGGATCGTTGTAAGATATTACAGTTCAAAAGTAAATAAAGTAGTATCTGCTTTTTTAGCTTTGCAAGCCCTATAGAGCTCCGATGCTGTTGGTATAGTTACTGCACTGATAAAATGTTTATCGACCTGGACTTACAAAATTTCATTGGCATTGGAACTGACAATGCTGCTGTCATGACTGGATCCAGACATAGTGTTTATGTGATTCTTAAAACGCAATATAATCTTCCACATCTCATATTGATACCATGCGTCTGCCATTCATTACAATTAGCGGTTACTCGTGCCTCAGAAAACACTTTACCGAGAAACATAGAATTTCTGGTCCGTGAAACTTACAACTGGTTTTCTCGTTCAACAAAGCGCCAAATGGAGTATAAGAAAATTTTTGAACTAATCAACTGTGGTGAATTACCTATAAAAGTCCTAAAGGTGTGTGACACGCGTTGGCTTTCAATTGAACCGGCAATAGTCAGAATTAGGGGGGATAAGTCGCTCGCGTCCGTAGGCTTCGACCACCTAATCCTAGGCCCACCCTAGACATTACCCCCGGGTGGTGCTAAAAGAGCGACAAAGCCGAAAGAACAGACTCGGCTACTCGCCGTGTGGTAGCGGCGTAAAATATGCCACGCCCTAGTTTTCGCACCATGAGGCAAATAGTAAAAGAAATGGCCCCGAGTTCCCGGCGCCCCTTTAATGGGGCAGGGGTGCGAAGAGTCTCCGGGAGGAAAACCGGCGACGAGGTTCGCCACCCGTCACGTTCTGTCTCCCAGAGAGGCGAAAAGTGGATTGCAGAGGCCCGTCTGGCTACGTTGAATGTATGTGGGGCAATGAATGATAAAATGGATGAAGTATGCGATATGATGTATGATAGAGGAATAGATGTATTATGTGTAAATGAGACGAAAAGGAAGGGGAAGGATGTCACTGCACATGGCATGTATACCGCATACTGGTCTGGTGTAGACGAGATCGAGCGGGCATGCCAGGGAGTAGGTATCATCCTTTCAGAAAGAATGGGCCAATGTGTGAAAGAGTATGAATGTGTAAGCCCAAGACTGCTATGGATACGAATGAAAGTGGGCTTAAAGAAGTTGTTTGTGTTAGGGGTCTACGCCCCAGACATGTCTAAGCCCACTTATATCCGGGAGCAGTTTTGGGAAATGGTAAGGATGGTGTTAATGAAGTGTAAGGGAAATGAAAATATTATTATGCTAGGACATTTTAATGGAAGGGTTGGGGTGAGGAGGCTTGGTTATGAAAGGGTATTGGGAACGTTTGGTGATGAAAGTATAAATGAGAATGGTGAAAGCCTCCTCACCGTATGTGTGGAAAGGAATCTTTTTGTGACGAACACTTTCTTTCGTCATAAGAAGATTCACATGTATACTTGGGAAAGAGGTGATGATAGAAGCATGATAGATTTCATAACCGTGGATGAAAGAATGAGGAGCGCAGTGGTGGATACAAGGGTTTACCGGGGGTCCAACGTAGGGACGGACCACTACCTGGTCTTATGCCGAATTAGGGGTTTATTCAGACGTTGGCGGCATAGGACATCTGTGTCTACCACTGCGTTACAGCGTATAAGAATTGAGAGGTTACAAGATGAAGATGTGAAAGACAAGTACAAATGCAGACTGAGAGAAAATATAAGTAATTTGGATGAGTTGTGTGTGAATGAGTTAGACTTGGAGAATGTGTGGCATAATGTTAAGAAAGGTTTTAGTGGATGCAGCTACCGAAGTATGTGGTGTTAGTAAGAGAACGAATGAAAGGAAAGACAATACGTTATGGTGGGATGATGAGGTACGTATGGAAGTTGAAGCAAAGAAGAGAGCATGGCTAGATTTACTAGCGACCAAAGCTGGTAATTCTGGCGGTAAGAATGATGAGAATGAAAGAAAAAAGGCTGAGTTTAAACGTTTAAATAAGAGAGTAAAAGAATTAGTTGAAAGGAAAAAGCAAGAAAGAACGGATAGGAATGATAGAAGAATATCGGATAACTTCCAGGCAAATATTAAAATGTTCTGGAAACTCGTAAGAAATACCAGGGGACTTTCAAAACAGCCTAGATTGAATGCGATACGAGACGAGAATGGCTGTATCCTGAATGATGAAGTGTTGAGTCTAAAGAGATGGAAGGAATATTTTGAAAGCGAATTTATGAGTGAGGAGAAGTGTGAACTAAATGAAATAGAAATTCCGAAAGAAGATGAAAGAGATAGGGAGATAAGTATAGATGAAATAATGAAAGCAATGAAAAGCATGAAAGTAGGTAAGGCAGCCGGATATGATAGAGTTTCACTCGAAATGCTAAGGGCTGGAGAGGACGTGGTGGCAGGCCTGCTGTACACCTTGTTTAATTTATGTTGGGAACTAAAGCGGGTACCGGGAGACTGGTGCAAAGCCGTGATAGTCCCAATATATAAGGGAAAAGGGTCACAGCAGGACTGTAAAAACTACCGTGGTATCAGCCTTCTTAGCATTGTGGGAAAACTGTATGCTAAGGTACTAATTGAAAGAGTTATGAAAGAAACTGATGAAAAAATTTGGGATGTGCAAGCGGGATTTAGAAAGGGAATGGGGTGTACAGATCAAGTCTTTTCCATGCGCATGATCGCGGAGAAGTTTTTGGCGAAAAACCAAAAAGTTTTTTGTGCGTTCATGGACTTGGAAAAAGCTTATGACAGAGTGGACAGGGATGTGTTATGGCAAACGCTGAACGCATTTAGGTTGAGCGCTGGTTTGATACAGGCATTAAAGTCTCTGTATAGGGACTCGAGTGCTTGTGTTAGAATCAACGGGGTCTACTCGGACTGGTTTGGCATCCATAAAGGTGTCAGACAGGGCTGTGTAGCTTCCCCGTGGCTGTTCAACCTATTTATGGACAGCTGTTTGGAAAATTTGAAAGTTGAAGAATGCGGGTTAAGAATGGGTGAGTTAACCATCAAATGCCTTTTGTACGCCGATGATCAAGTCATACTTGCGTCGTCGGCGGCCGAGTTGCAAATGATGGTTACATTAATGAACAGGTCATTAAAAGAAAGGGGAATGAAAGTGAACGCAAGTAAGACGAAAGTGATGGTTTTTGAAAGAGATGAAAGCAAGACGGTATGTGAAATAAGAATAGAAGGAGAGTTAATTGAGCAAGTGGATGAGTTCGTATATTTGGGATGTGTATTCAGCAGGGATGGGAGATATGATAAGGATATTGAACGACGAGTGAATGCAGGAAATAAAGTAAATGGGGCTCTACACTCTATTGTGAAAAGTCAGAATGTGTCAAAAAAGGCACGTATGGCAATTCACAGTGCTGTATTAGTCCCTACTTTAACGTATGGTAGTGAAAGTTGGGTGTGGCAGAAGAAGCACGAGAGTAGAATAAATGCAGTAGAAATGCGGTCCCTAAGGAGTATGTTAGGGCTGAATCTGAGTGACAGGGTGAGAAACTGTGTGATAAAAGAAGAGTGTGGTTTGCAAGATGATGCGGTGACCAGGATTAAGAAAGGAATGCTTCGGTGGTTTGGTCATGTAGAAAGAATGAATGCGGAAAGACTGACAAAGCAAATATATGTTGCAGAAGTGAATGGAAGAGTCGGAAAGGGACGTCCTAGGCGGAAGTTTGTCGACCAAATTGGCGATATACTAAAAATGGGCCAAATTAAGAGTACCCTTAACCGACGAGCATGTATGCGTAGGTATATGGATGTGGAAGAGGCGAGAAAGGTATGTCAGGATCGTGCTAAATGGAAGTCTGTAGTCTCTGCCTACCCCTCTGGGTGACAGGCGTGAGTGTTTATGTTTTATGTTATCATCTCAATCCTGTACCTTACTTCGGATATCTTTTTGAGTCGCAAGTACAAAAGCTCCCAGCAACCCATATATCAATATTGCTGCAGTAAGATCAAGATGTATTGCTTTTAATGTTAAATTAGGAGAAGAAATTCAAAAGCGACTTCCAACCAACTATGCAGTGCTAGAAAAAATGTCTCTTTTAAGCGAAGAAGAGACATTAAAACAAGTTAAAAATAATTCACTGGTAGATCTTGCAGAGGAATTAGGCATACCTGATGAAAAAATTGACAAAATTTTGCAACAGTGGCAAAACATTCACTTTGTTGACTGGAACTCTTTAAATGGGAACCCAATTAGCTTTTGGGCAAAAAGTAACTGCATACAAAAATAAGTAAGTAAATAGTGCAAGGAGTAAACATATTTGAAGATTTATGTCATTTTGCAATAATAATATTATCACTACCGCACTCAAATGCAGAAATTGAACGCGTATTTAGTGCTATGAATGTAGTTAAAAGCAAACTTCGAAACAAACTATCTGAAAAAACTTTAAATTCCATTCTTTCAGTTAGATTAAAAAAAAGAATTGCACAACGTTTGATATTCCTGAAGATATTGTCAACCAAGTCGGTAAAGGCAAACCAAAGATGGGAACTGGAGACACTGGCGAAGCTTCCATACTACGCTATTGATTTTGAAATTTAGGTACAAGAACGTACTGAGCTGACTAATGTTTAAACGTGGTTTATATATTAAGCTTTATTTTTTAACAATATTTTTTTCTTTTGTTCATGAATAATTTTTGTTTTGGTTGTCATAAAATTAACGATAAAGAGCTGAAAAAATGAAAGATGAACACAGTGTTTGATGAAATGCAGTTACGGGCGGGTATTGCCTTTAATAGAAGGAAAGACACAGTGAGTGGTTTTAAGCAACCAATAGCCTATACCTTCTCATCAAGTATGACAAAATGTTTGGAATTAGCTAAGCAAATAAAAGAAACCATTACTGAACTGCAGCAAGTTGGCTTTAAAGTTTTAGCTAATATCTGTGACCAAGGCACGAATAATAGGCAAGCAATCAAAATTCTCAAAGAGGAGACAGAAGGTCATATTTATGCCAAGAAGAAACAGAAATGTCTCGAGATAATATTTTTATTATAAATTTCTTGGATCCACCTTATTTATTAAAAGGTATAAGAAACAATCTTCTTACTAAAAACCATAATTATAAATGGATGGAAAACCTGGCACAGCTAAATGGCTTCATTTAGAACTACTTTACAAAGAAAATCCTGGATACAAAAGCATAAGGCTTATGCCTACATTAACAGAAAACCGTCTAATTGCTACCAAATATAATTACTAAAAACCAAAGATGAAAGTCAAATATGCCAGTCAAAAATTCAGTCAAACTATCTCATCTAATATGGAATATCTTGCAGGTATATCAATAATATCAACTAATAAAATAGTAAGGTACTTAATCATAAGTGTAAAAGTAAAGTTACAGACTATATACATTCTACTTTTAGGCACAGGGCAATTTCTATGACTTCACATGTCTGCAAAAAGCTAGCAAATATAGTTTATTTTTTATTCTACAATTTCATTCATTCATTCATTTTAATTTTTGAAACGGTTCTAATTTTCAATTTTTTAACAGTTTTAATTTTGGTTTTACAATAATTTCCTTCACCATCTAGAACATTGTTTATAAATATATTGCATAAAACTATACCTGTAACCTAAATATGAAAATATAGAAACATACATTTCTCCTCCATAAAATCCCAGGAGCCGGGCTTGCCTTATGAAACTGCTGAATCAGTAATATCAACTAATAAAATAACTCGTAAACTGTTTCAAACTATTTCAAATTTCCCGCGCGCTTCTCTGTTCTACACAGCTCATGAATTAGTAGCCTTACGGCCTGGCTACGATTTGAGGGCCACGGGCAGTCACGCTTGCCGCCGCGACCAGATAGGCTGAGAATGAAATGTCTTTATCAAAATTATCTCGATATTGCTTAGAAGGTAATTGCTTTTTGATTCAAGACATAATATTTGGAAGAGATTGTGGAGTATATGATTTGAATAGGAATCGGGTTATAGGTGGAGAACTCCACAACAAATACAGAATGCATGCAATGCAGGAATGAATGTCTAAACCTGCGATTGTATTCTTGTTAATATTCAACCAGAATTTGAGATAAAAGTCAATCGCCGCGTCTGCCGCCCGACTCCGTGGCTTGCACAGTACTGTTTCATACATTTGTTTCAGTCGCCCACAGCGCCGCCGGTCGCCTCGCCACTCTGGAATTTCCGCTACGGCGAATGTCCCATGGCCAGGCTGTTAGTATATAACGTCAACACTTGGCAAATTGCTTTCAATTCGAAATACACAGATTCGTGTTCCAGTGGCGTAGCAAAGGGGGGGGGGGGCGCACCGGGTGTTACCTTTTTTGTGGTGACACCCACCCGGTCTCTCAACTTTAAGAACAAACAACAAAAAATAAATAAATCGCTAGCACAAAAATTTCTTTTTCGGGGATTCCTCCACTAGCACTAGCTCAGCTCTATGTATAATTCGGAGATTCCCGCAAAAGAGCCTGACGCTCTCAAAGTCTCTTCAAGATGTAGCTTCATTGTTCGAGATCGTACAAACTAATGTTTTGCTTTTGGCGAATACTGAAGAACTGAAATTAGCTACATCTAAACTTACTGATTTTTATGATGAGGTCTCAGAAACCGAATTACTTTTGGAGATACCAAGACTGCGAAGACTTAAAACCCACTAATGTTACGGTTACTGATTGAGTGTCTCTAGATTTTTTTAATTTATTGTAGAATGGGATTTTACAGAATCTCTTCTAAATATTATGATTGCATTGAAATTGTTCATGACGGTTTGCGTGTCCGTAGCTTCATGTGAGAGGAGTTTCAGAAAATTAAAATTAATAAAAAACTATTTGCGGGCAACAATGACCCAATCGCGACCTAGCAATCTTGGTACATTAGCCATCGAACACGAGGCAATACAAAATATAAATTTCGATGAAGTTATTGCTGAGTTTGCAGCTGTCAAAGCTAGAAAGAAGAAATTTTAATTGTATAACAATTCCTTTTCTGTCTTAGTTATTATTGTGTTTTGTTATTTCTTCAATATTATAAATAATAAATGATCTACGTCCTTTATCATATAAAATTTATTGCTTTTTACTTTCGATGGGGTGGACACCAACAACTTCCGCACCGGGTGCCACCCAAGGTAGTAGCTCAAAGAACCTACAACCGATGGGAAAAAAGTTCTCACGTGGCTGCCTTGTATTAGTAGGCAAAGAGTAGGACGACTACCCACTACATGGAGTGACAACCTGGTAAAACATGCAGGTGGCTCAGAACCGTGCTTTGTGACATTCCATATGTTCAGCAGTAGACTTGTGAAGGGATTCTATGGAGATTATGAATACGAAGATTGTATATTTTATAAAAATTATTTAATAATTTTGTACCAATATAAATGCTGGTTAGGTATACTTTGTAATTTTAAGCTTAAAACTATAACACACTTAAATAAATGGGACTATCTTTTTTGTTTTGTTACATTTTTTAAAACAACTATTTATATTTATGGAATTAATTGTTTTTGATCCAGTCAGTATTGACATTCAAAGTTATTATGTAAACAATCACAATAGAAAACCCAATTGTGTATAAAAATTTACTGAATAATAACAAAATTTGTACCATATACCACATCCACAACTTAAACTTATCTGAGGAGATGCCATATTATGTTAAAATCCTTTCATTTGTTTAGGCTACAGAGCATACAAAAAATAAATAAACATACATACACTGGGAAAAAAGGCATGGTAGCTCAGATGGTTTCACACAACTATCATTGTCGCCACTGTCGTGTTCTCTCTGTCTCAAAGCGAACACGCAATGGACTGTCAAAATTAATGAAAGCAAAGAGTTGAGTTGAGCTATTAGTCGTCTCTTTCGCACGTGTGGGCTTTTACCGGGCTTTCGAGAAGATGATCGCTCCCTTTCTAACCTGTGGCAAAGTGTTCTGTAGTGAAATATAACTACGATTGTTTACATAGCAATTTAGTATAGAGCGTAAAGCTGGGCTTTTGATATGAAGTTGATGAAAGTGAAGCGCGGGCGATACGTTTGCAAGTTCACTTCTCATTTCAATGTTTATTTTCTCTTTGAGCGAATGAATATTCGCGAGTTGTAAATTTATGCTTTTTTAAAGATTTTTAGTGAAAATGGAGGATAATAGTGTTACTTGTGATGAATCGAAGTGTGTTAAAGTGATAATCGGCTAGGAAAAGATAAAATCTTTTAAAATTAAATTGTAAGTCAATAAACATTTCTTCATACTTTAATTGGTGCAGGACTCTTTAGTATTAAAGTTTAATTAAGCTAGGCGTATTTAAAGGTTTAATAATTCAATATTTATGAGTTAAAAATATCATTTTGAACGGCAGCATAAAATATGAGATAAGTGTAAGTTTAATTTTATAGCAAAAAATTGTTACAATCTTTTTTTTAATGTGAAGCCTAAATTTTAATGTAATAAATCAAAAGAATACATGTATTTAGGTTTTTAAGGAATATTTCCCGTAGTCCTTCAGTATATAAAATTTTAATAGCGCCATCTACTTAAGAGCGGGCAACCCGGCTTACTTTTCATACAAACGCTCGTACGTGACTACTCGTGATTACGGCGTTGTAATAGATATTTCTTTGAAATTTTTGAACTAATAGGTATTTTGTGCACTATAGCTAGGTTCCCATCAAAACAAAGAATCTTAATTTAGAGAAACAAATTCAGTATAAGCCTCCAAAAATCTGCTTTTATGCACAAAATTACCTGAACTTTGGCCGTTCATAATGTAGTCATAAATAGTAAAACCAATAAAAATAATTTTGATAGAAACCTCGCAAATATAATGGAGTTTCTAAATGATTAACATTTATTTCACAACTTGTAAGACTTACCGAAAAACACGTATTTCCTTATCGTTGTATTTTTGTTGTTGTTTTGTTATGTATTATGTTATTGCGTTCTCACTTACTTGTTAGTCAAGTGGCGGTAAGGTATGCGGGGGACGAGTCGTGCGGGGTTGAGGCGGGGTGAGACGGGGGAGTTGACGCGGCGCACCCGCGCTCGGCTGTCGGGCCTCCCGCGAATTGTTAGTAGCTAGGGGAGATCCTTGTACCTTGGGACACCTTGTACCTCGGGTTAAGCTCATTGCGTCAGATATTTTACATTGAGAAGTGGTAAGTAGTGACATCTTGTAGCTTTTTCATTACAACATTCAGAAAGCATGCAGTAAAATCGGCCATTTTGCTTCGTTCCTTAGATGTGGTATGCAGTGTGATTTTTTCGTCAGATTTTTTTTGCAATCCACTTGAATCTTTGCTTTAGACGAAATATTTTGAGGTGAGTAATTTATTGATACAATTAGTTGTTATCTATATCCTTAATCACTTATTTTAATATAATTTCCTAGATTTCCGTAATTCAAAAGTTATAACCACACTTTGTATTCTATAATTGAAATTTGTACCTTGGGACAGTGAATTGGGACAGTACCAAGGTAGGGGAGACCGGGTACAAAAGTTACGGCGGGTCGAAAGTAACAAATACTCTGTAGGTTTATCCAATACCCAAACACCGCTTCGCTTCCATAAGGCGATAGCCGGTGGCACCCCCCTCACTTGCATTCAGTCGCCGCACGCGCCACGCGCTGTTAGGTTGTGTGAGAAGACGCTATATGATTTCACACATCAAAAGTAAGTTTTTTGACGTTTTCTTATTTAAGGTTTTCGTAGTCTTAAAAGGATGATACCAGTCTGAATATTTGCATATTAATTCCTGATCAGATTGATTACACAGTGTTTTTATTCGCTTCTGTCTAGCACGTTCCGTTTTAAGGTTATATTTGATGTTTTAACAAAAACGTGGTCGGGTACAAAAGTAACATGTTACTTTTGTCCCCGTATTGGTTTATTTACTTTATAATGTTATGTGTGTATTTATTTGAACAGAATGCCGCGACAACGCATCAGAACTACCACACGAGGAACTACTGACACGGAAGTGTACCGAAAAGCGGCTGAAGAGCATTCTAAAGATGGTACAAAAATTAGATCCCTGGCAAAAAAATATAATGTTTGTCATGTAACATTATATAGATATATAAAAAAAATTAAAGCAGGAAATACTAGCGCAGTTGTGGGCTACCGTTGCGTCAACCGTGTTTTTACCATTGATGAGGAAAAATGTCTACAGGACTATTTAATCGAGTGCTCTGGAGTTTATTTTGGGTTATCTCCATCTGAAGTACGTAAACTGGCATATGAGTTGGCAATAAAAAATGGAAAAACATTTCCTGAAAAGTGGCACGATACTCAAATGGCGGGTAAGGAATGGTTGACGGGTTTTTTAAAACGACACCCGAGGCTCTCTTTGAGGTGTCCTCAAGCAACAAGCCTGTCGCGGGCCTCGAGTTTCAACGAACATAATGTGAGTAAGTTTTTTGATAATCTTGCTGACGTAATGGATAGGTATAAATTTGAGCCAAAAGATATCTGGAATATGGATGAGACAGGGGTGACCACTGTCCAAAAACCTAGTAAGATTTTAGCTCAAAAAGGAATTAAACAAGTAGGCGCAGTAACCTCAGCAGAACGTGGGAGATTAGTAACAGTTGCTATTGCGATTAATGCTCAAGGAGGACCAATATCTCCTTTTTTTGTATTCCCGTTGAAGCGATACCAAGACCACATGATACGTGAAGGTCCTGTTGGTTGTGCCGGAGCTGGCAATGCTAGTGGATGGATGCAGGAAGCAGAATTTTTACTGTTTCTAGAACAGTTCAAAAAACAAGTCAAGCCAAAAGTTGATCAAAAATGCTTGTTACTGCTCGACAACCATGCATCGCATATATCTATCCAAGCACTAGATTTTTGTAAAAATAATGGAATAGTACTGCTGTCGTTTCCACCCCATTGCACGCACAAACTTCAGCCTTTAGATAGAGCAGTATTTGGACCATTCAAAAAAATGATAAACACCGCTACAGACAACTGGATGCGGAATCATTCTGGTCGAACAATGACTATCCATTACATTCCTGGAATTGTTAGAGAAGCATTTCCTCTTTCTGTCACTGATCGAAATGCAGTTGCCGGATTTACCTGTACCGGTATAAGTCCATTTAATAGGAATATATTTACTGCTGTTGACTATGCACCATCATCTGTCACTGACCGGCCTTTACAAGTTAACGATGAAATTCCACCAAATGATCTGTTGACCAGTTTTGATGTAACATCCTTCATCCAAGTTGATCCGGAGACTCTAGTTGATAATCTTCCAACATCAAGTGACCAGACTGTCCAGTGTACAGTTAGCAATGATTTGTCAAAAAACTCATACAATCAAAGACCCAACTCGCCAGTACCAGGACCTAGCGGATTACAGCAAGCAAATTCTTCTCAGCCGTTTGATTTCACACCGAAAGATCTTAGACCTTTACCACAAGCGAGTCCGAGAACTGTAGCAAATAAAGGACGTAAAAAACGTAAGACAGCAATATTGACGGACACGCCCGAAAAAAATGCAATTGAAGAAGAATACCAACGAAGAAATAAAGCCAAGAAAACAGTTTTACAACCGGATACTAGAAATGGCAAGGGGAAGTTGATATCTACGAAAGGCAAGGGAAAAGGAAAAAAGACAAAGAAGGCAGTTAAAGGCAAGGAAAATAAATCTGACGACGAAGATTGCTTCTGTCTCGTTTGTTTAGAAACTTTTAGCAACAGTCGACCAAATGAGCAATGGATACAATGTACCAAATGTAAAATGGGGTCACATGCTGAATGCGTCAACGACGATGCAAATTATGAGTGCCATAATTGTGAGTTGGAGTAAAAGACTTATACTGAATAGTTTGATTATAAAAAAATGATTATCATATAATAATTGATCTCATTACTTAATGTAAGAATAATTTGTTTTGTTTTCTTAAAATATATAATTTTGGAGTATTTAAAATGCAAATGTTTATCTGTGTTATTAATACAAAGTTTTCTAATAAATAATTAGCTGATTTAATATGTCACATTACATTAATTACAAACGCCTTTGTCCTGTTACTTTCGACCCACAACGTGTTACTTTCGACCTGCCTACGTGGTCGAAAGTAACAACTTACGAAATTTTTTGAAGTCTCTGTTATTCATATAAAATACACAATAATAAGGTAAAATAAGATGCTAATGTAAAGAACATAAACGGAATGTATATATGGCTATATTAATTTCATTAAAATAATTACACCTAACCAGAAACCAAGGTAAAAGTACAAAATGTTACTATTGTACCCGGTCTCCCCTACAAGCCAATGCTTTTTTTCAACTATTTATTTTAATATTATATTTTTATTTTTTGTTTTTATGTTTTTAGATGCCGCGAAGTAAAGATAGTCATACGACCGAAACCAAGTGAGCAAAATGTAAAAAGTGCAATTAAAATGGTAATTGAAAAACGTTTATCTATTCGGAAAGCTGCAGAAGAATTTCATGTCTCAAAATCTTTAATAGGCCGTTACGTGAAGTTGAACAAAGAAAAAGAAAATGTTGAGGTCGTCTATCACCCTCTGAATGCTGTCAAGGGAGTGTTTAGTGATGAAGAAGAAGAGCAATTGGTTGAATATTGCTTAAAGGCATCCAAGATACACTACGGAATATGCAAAGATGACTTTTTAAAATTAGCATTCGAATATGCAGTAATTTTGAAAAAAACTTATCCAAGTGCTTGGGACACAAATAAAAAAGCTGGTAAGACATTTTATGAATATTTTATTAAAAGGCATCAAAATTTAAGCTTGCGAAAACCAGAAGCAACGAGTTTAGCACGTGCTACTTCTTTTAATAAGGTGAATGTAAATTTGTTTTTTAATAAATACAAGGAACTGCTGTTGAAATACAATTTTACAAGCGAAAGGATCTATAATGTAGATGAATCTGGCATGTCTACAGTACACAATCCAATGAAAGTTTTAGCGTCAAAAGGAGTAAAACAAGTTGGGAATATTACATCAGCAGAGAGAGGTAATAATGTCACTGTTATTGCATGCGTGAATGCACTTGGGAATTCGGTTCCTCCTTGCATGATTTTTCCTATAGTGCACTTTAAGAGCCATGCATGATTAATGGTGCTCCTCCTGAGACTTTGGGGCTTGCAACTCCCAGTGGGTGGTCCAATGGTGATAAGTTTGAGGATTTTTTGAACCATTTCATTAAACATGTTAGACCTAATAATGATAATAATGTGCTCCTGATATTGGACAATCACGAGAGTCACATTTCGATTAAAATCAGAGTTGGCCAAGAATAATGGTATTGTAATGTTCACATTTCCTCCTCACACCAGCCACAAGTTACAGCCTTTAGACAGAACCGTATTTGGTCCACTCAAGAAATATTATAACAGCTTGCAACGATTGGCTTTTGCAACATCCTGGAACTCCTCTTACTATATATAATGTCGCCGAATGCTTTGGCACTGCTTTTCCATTAGCTTTTACGCCATCCAACATTCAAAATGGATTTAAAGTTGCAGGAATATGGCCTTTAACGATAATATTTTTGGCGAAGATGAGTTCCTGAGCTCTATATGTTACAGATAGGCCTTATGTAGATGCTAACACCGTTACGCACACCAGATTGGATGTGGCTGAAATACAACCAAATATTGCTCTACCTGGACCATCGCAATATGCAAATATTGAACAACAATATGACAATAACCAAGTAGCTCTAATAGAATCTCTAGCACCATCTATATCCACTGGTACTATATACACAGACAAAAATATCGTTATGTCACCTGAAGCCATTCGTCCTTTTCCAAAGGCCCCACCACGTAAGAATAATACTACTAGAAATAGAAAAGGTAAGACAAGAGTCTTAACCTATACTCCTAAAAAGAGGAATTGGAGCTTTTAGCTGCTAAAAAAAGAAAAAAATAAGTAAATAAAAAAAACAAATCTGTCAAGAAGCGTGTTTTTAAGAAAAAAGTTTAGAGAGAAAGTAGTAGTTCTGGGGATGAAACTGATGTTATCTTAGAAAATGACGATTCATGTGATGACGATCAAGAGGAAAATAATTGTGTGGATTGCGGTGAAAATTATTTCAATACTTCCAGCACAGAAGACTGGATTCAGTGTTGCACCTGCCGATTCTGGGTGCACGAAGATTGCACCTGTTTTGAAAATTACTGTCAGAAATGCGGTATCAAGTCTAAAGAAAACTAATAGTAATGTTTGTAAACAAGTTTTGTTATTATTTTTATTTTCCTGAGTATCTAAAAAGTGATTGTAAGTAAGCTTTGTAATGACTGTTGTTTTATTAATATAAAATTAAGATTATCTTTGTTTTTCAATGCTTTAAATACCTTTAACAAAGCATTTAAGCTGCCCATTCATATCAAAATCTCCGGTATATGAAATATGTACGTCAACTGATAGAGTTAATATTCATCTGGCGGCAGTTTAGGTTTACAAAAATGTGTCCCAAGGTACAACCATTGGTGTCCCAAGGTACAAGCCATGATTGTACCTTGGGACAAATATCCTAAAGTAATTAATTGTCATTTTCTCATTGATAAAACATAGTAGGTCGTGTTTTACATCATATTATTGTGATGTTATTGGCTACCTAATAGAAATTTCAACATTCAAGGGCATAGATAAATTTGAACTTAAATTATGGAGGTTTAAAGAAAAGCGTCCCAAGGTACAAGGATCTCCCCTATAGAATTTGTTGACTGCGCATACACGAATATGCTGTTGCATTTTATTTTTAGTGAATTCTATTTTACCTACTACAACGATTTTGTTTTTTATACCGGACACTGATTTGGCTTGCAAAAGGTTTAGTTATTTTATAATGTAATACGAACCTGGCATTAGTGAATACGGATACCAAGTTTGTTTCGATAAAGATTTTATCTCGATTTTATTACTATTGATTACAATTGAGCAGAACTACGTTTTGTAAAATGAGTAAGTAGATTTTTTTTAACATAATTATACAAGAGCTAAAGTAGGTAGCTAATTGAACCGTAAAAAAATATCAAACCAATTTATTAACCACGTCATGTTGATAACATGAACTACGTATGTAGTCAGTCATCATCAGCCTATAATGTTCCCACAGCTGGGACACAGGCCTTCTCTCTATGAGAGGGAGTGGGCTGTAAATACACCACGTGGGCCTAGTACCGGTTGGTAGATGTCACATGTCTTCAAATTTTTTTCGTTCTAGGACATGCTGGTTTCCTCACCGTTTTGAGAGCAGGGGTGATGAAATAAATTACACAAAGTAATGCACCACTGGGCCACCACTGTCACACACAACTTTTACTACTATTATATATATATATTATATATATATATATATATATATATATATTATATTTATATATATTTTAAGTAGGTAGCTACTAGCCTACCCATGTACATAGATAGGTTGGTACCAACTACTTATCAAGGTCATATCTAATGTCGAACAGACAATTTTTTTAAACAACAACAAAACGATGTTATACCTACCGATTACTTATAGTAATTGTAGTCAGCGATATGAGATACTTTTACTGTAAATGACTATTAGATCAAATATGAAGTCGCGAAAAAAAACTCTAAATCTAGATTTAGATAACTCTTATTCAATTATTATTTAGCAAATGATCATAGGAAGGAATAAAGGTTTATTTTATTTTCCAGGTTTATAAATGAGAACAAAGAAAACATTGACAATAATGATGTATCACGGCTTAAGTAAGGCGGAAAGCAAAGTGTAATATAATAATAATAATATATAAAATGCAAAACAAAGGTATTTGTATTTTTAGAACGATTAAATAGATTTATTTATTGTTTTAGGCTTACCCATGATAGGGTAACACATCAAGAAGTTACTGTTACAAATGAAGCACAGAACAAGGTTTTTGATGAAAATGAGATCGAGGAATATGACCATTATAATGACAATATTGGTTGCAGTTTACCATTATTAAGGTAAGTGAATTCTTCACTACTGTTATATAAAAATAGACATGTCACGATTTTTATTAAATGAATATATTATAAAATGGAATTATAAAATGGTTATTTTACAGTATAGGGTACCTACTTATTTGAGATACTATTTATGTTGCTCAAAGATTAACAGAATTATTTGTTATTTATTTTTAAAACAAAGGCGAATTTCAAGATAATACCTTTTTAGGATGGTTTTTAATGTAATTATTATTGGTTTTTATAGAGTTTATGGAACTTATTTCAGATACTATTAAGTTCCTCAAAGTTTTATCGAATTAGTTGTTATTTGTTTCTAAAACAATGGCGAATTTCGAGATAATCATGAGATAATACTGTTTTTTACGGTAGTTTTCATTGAATTGTTTAGGTACTTATTTGAGATACATGTATTGTTATTCAAAGTTTTATACACTTAATAATTTTTATTCCTTTTTAATTAAAAAGCATGAATTCTTTTTAATGTTAAAATAACTTTTGTATTGGTTAGTTTTGTAGTAGGTTTTATTCGGTAGTTTGTTTAGGCCTGAGTCGGCGCTCGGGTCGAGCGGGAGGCGCGCCTGACGGCGGAGGCGCGGGGGGTGCGGGCTGGTACGGCGCCCGGCTGCGCCGGCGTCGGGTTTTGCACTTCACTTGTCGCAGAGCGTGGAACTGAGTAGTTGCCCGTTGTGTTAATAGCTTCGTCGCACCTCTGCCTTAACGTATATACTTCGCGAACCTGAGTAGTTTGCCGCGCGGCCCGGTGATATTGCATTTTTCACAAAGGTCGAGTTTGTATGTGACGCGCGTTCGGTTAAATCTTGTTGGACTTTATTGGATTAACCTAATGACAATTGGCTTGTCTCCAATTAACAAGTGAGAAACGAGTGTAATTTACTAGATTCTTAAATTTTTGTGACGGACTGCCACTTCGATATAAAGAATAGAGGTGAAGCCTTGGGGTCGGCGGTTCTGCAACCAGCGGGAAGTCAGGTTACATAATTTAACACAATCCCACCACAACACAGTCAAGCACACCCACACTTACACCTGAATCTTCCTAAGATAGACCCTACTTCGAAGAAATAGGTAAGTTTTTGTTTGGTCCCCTTTTTTACCGCTAACGTGTAATATTCCACAAGCCATTTAGGCCGACCTCCTGTTGCTCGTCGAGTGGAACTCCTGATGGGCCCGAGTTCCACGACCTTGCCCGGGTAACTAGAGGCCGTAACAACTTGGTAGCAGAGCGTGGTTTTCCTGACGGGTTTTGAAACCACTCCCAGCTCAATACGTAACGTTTGTTGCAATACGTATTAATAATTTTGTTTTGTTTGCGTGTTATTTGTTAGCGGATAGGATCGGTGTATAGAACCGTGTAGTAACCGTATTTTTTGTTTTATTTACTTTATTCGGTCGCTTACTTTGTTAGTGGTAGGTAGAATTGTGCCACGCCCCGCGGCCGGGCGTAAGCGGACTGTTTAGGTACTTACCTTAGGTTTAGGTACACGCGTCGAGTAGGGTTTATAATTACCGTTGCTACATAAGCGTGGCAATTGCAAATATTGTATACGTAATAATTATCAATTAGCGTTGTCTCGTAAACCGACTGTAGTTATTACTCGTGGAATAGTAATTTGTTTGAATTAAATTAATTGCGTAGTATAATTTGCTGATTGGATAAATAGCATTTTGTATTGTATTATTTTTATTGTGATAATTAAACTAATTGTGTAAAGTAATTTGTACTAAGTTTAATTCGGTGATAATCGTACCTTGTAATGATGCCTTCACACCGGTCACCGACGCTTCGCTTACAAGCGGAACTGCGCTGGGCTGCGAATGCTCACAGCTTGATAGGGAGACCCGATAGAATCCATAGCTTGGAGAAGCGGCTCGAGCAAGTCACGGCCCGAAGGGCCGTAGTGGAGGAGGCATGCTCCGAGATTATGGCTTCGGGAGCGGAACAGGGGAGTCCTAGACTCCTGTCTTTCCGACTATGAGCAATTTTTTGCTCTCACGGATGACCTGATTGAGGCAGGGGCCAAGCAGGCTAGTGACGCGCGTGAAGCTCGGCTGGGTGTCCTGCTCGAGTCCCCTCGACTCGAGCAGGACACCCAGCCGAGCTGTTGGGACGACTTCCCACTCTGGACCTGCCAAGGTTCTCCGGGGTCCTCTCCGAGTGGTTAACATTTGTGGGACTTTTTGACAGCCTAGTGGATGCCCGGAGGGATTTAACACCAAGCCAGAAGATGGCGTATCTCCTGGCCTCATTAGAGGGGGAGGCCTTGGGCGTCGTCGGCCATTTGAAGGTGTCGGACGACGCCTACCTGAACGCTCGGGACCTCCTTGCCGGAAGGTATGCCAACGTACGGCGAATTGCGGACGAGCACGTCAAACTTCTGTTAAACCTCCCGTTGCTAAAGGACCGGGCCCGACTACGACCGGACATCGTAAATCCGGTCTTGGTGGCCTGCAACTCGTTGAGACGGCTGGATTTGCCGGTGGACGAATGGTCCTTTTTGTTGCTCCATATTGTGCTGTCCCGCCTACCTCTCGATCTTCGACTCCATTTTGAGGAGAGGTACGGCGGAGACGGCGCCTCCTATATTCCTCCCTTCAGGGATCTGCTGCGGTTCTTGGAAGAGCAGTGCCGGCAGATTGAAAACGCAGCGGGCACCGCCGGAGATCTGCGGACTGCTAACCGAACCGTGACCAGGGAAAGGCGAAACCCCCCGGCCAAGGCGTTGTCAACCCCCCTCAGACCGAGTGGGGCTCCTGCGGGAGGGCGCCCCCTACTATCATCTTATAGTGGCCTAGTGGCCAGGAAGGCGCCCCCCTGCTCCTATTGTAGAGCAGCAGAACACCAGGTGACGTCGTGCCCTAAATTATTAGGCAAGCCTGCCTCAGCGAGACGAACCATCGCCAGGGAGCGCCGCTGGTGCTATTCATGTTTAGAACGGCACCTCCAACGAGACTGCCCGCACCAGCGGCCCTGTCCGCACTGCCAGGGCAAGCACCACGCCGTCTTGTGCCTGGGCGCGAACGGCTCTTTCTCTCGGGGCTCGGCTGGGCCCTCATCCCCCACGGGCGGGGGCGCCCGGCCACCCCCTCTGACAGGTGACGCTCGTCGCTCTCCTACCGACGACCCTGCCCCTGGGTTCGGAGGGGGTTCCCCTCACGACCAGTCGGGGGGTCGTTCCCCCCAGGGGCGGGGGGGTTCGTCACCCCCCCCTCGGAGGGTCGAGAGGGACTTCGCGGCCACTCAGCGGTCAGCGAGATCCTTCTCACCCCCATTAGCAGAGAGGCCGCGACTGGAGTACCACCCCCCCCTTTGGTCGGTCCCGCTACTACGGGCTCCCTGAGACCTCGAAGCTGTCCAGGGCCTCCAGGCCAAGGTTCCCAGAAGCCCCCCAGGTCGGCCCGTTCTGCGATTTTCATCCTCGGGTCAGTGAGATGCCGCCGGAATTCCGCTTTCCGGACCCCCGGCTTGAGTGCCGGTCCGACGAAGGCAGCTCCTGCTAGGAAACTGCCGCCCTAGCTCCCACCACGGCCGCCTTCACTGATCCTTTAAGCCGTCCGCAGTCCACCTGTCAAACTGTTCTATTGCCGACGGCCGCCGTGAAGGTGTACAACCCGAGTGGCGACTGCTTAACTGTTCGCGCTCTATTGGATTCAGGTTCACAACGCTGTGTGGCCTCCAATCGGTTAGTGGGAAGACTAGGGCTCCCCTGGAGCTCCAAATCATGCCCAATGGTAGGTATTGGAGGTGCAGAGCCTCCTGCTCCTAGGGGACAAGCAAGGCTGGTGTTTGGCCCTGCAAGCGAACACCTCCACATCTTAGTTAAGGTAAATGTCCTCGATGATATTGTAGGCTTTCTCCCTAATGCCCGTATAAATGATAGCGCGGTTTGTTGTACGTCTGGCTTGAGACCGGCAGACCCTCAATGGTCTCAACCTGGGCCGATAGATTTGTTGCTGGGGGCCGACGTGCTGGGGTTCATCCTGTTAGGCGAGATACGAGCCCTACAGCCCGATGGCTTGTCAGCCGTGTCCACTGTATTTGGGCACAGTTTCTTTGGACCGGTTCTGTGGTCTCCACCGCATCAGGCAGCCGACCCGCTCCCGGTGGCGGGCGTGTCTCTTTCGGACGTCGTCCAGCGGTTCTGGGAAATTGAGGAGCCGCCACACGCGCCTCGAGTCAACCCTCTGGACCGTGAGTGCGAGTTGTTCTACCAGAACAATACCGGCCGCCGTGTCGACGGTCGCTTTGTCACCCGCTTACCCTTTCTTGACTCACGGCCTCCTTTGGGCCAATCTCGGACCATGGCCGAAAAGAGGTTGCTTTCTATGGAGCGCCGTATGCGTCGCGACACAGCCTTTCGCGACAAGTATGTCGAGTTCATGCGCGAATATCAAGAGCTGGGTCACATGTCACCTTCTCATTTCGACTGGCGATCACATGAACACTATATCCTCCCCCACCACGCGGTTTTGAAGTCCCCTGGGAGTAAGATTCGGGTGGTTTTCGACGGCTCCGCCCCCTCGTCCAATGGGGTGTCCCTGAACCAGTGTCTCCACTCTGGTCCTAAATTGATCAAGGACATATCCGACATTTTGACCCACTTCCGTCGGCATCAAGTTGTTTTTGTAGCCGACATTCGGATGATGTTTCGACAATCAGTGGTCCACCGTGATGACCGTCGATATCAGCTGATCCTGTGGCGCGAGAAGCCCAGCGATCCGATACAAGTGTTCGAGTTGAACATCACCACCTATGGACTCCGATCCAGCCCGTATGTCGCCATGCGAACCCTCCTCGAACTAGCTGAGAGAGAGCGCCTAAGATACGCTCGGGGGCTTCTATTTTGGAGACCTCGGTCTACATGGACGATATTTGTACGGGTGCCTCCACCGTCGAGGAGGCCCTCGTATTGCGAGACGAATTGATTGCCATCCTGAAGTCGGGAGGTTATGAGCTGCGCAAATGGTTGTCGAACTCCCCTCATATTTTGAAGGACCTCCCAGGAGAGGATCAACAAGACCCTCATCTATTCGAGCACCCTGACAATCCTAATTTGTTGACTGTGCTTGGCATTCAATATCAGCCTGTTCAGGATACCTTCACGTATCGAGTCAAGCTCGATCCCCCCCCTAAATCATGGACCAAGCGCTCTGTGTTGTCAACTGTAGCTCGCACCTTCGATCCTAATGGTTGGATTACTCCGGTCATCTTTTTGGCTAAGTGTTTCCTTCAAAAACTCTGGATATCCGGGTTGGGTTGGGACGACCCTATAAGCGGTGCTCTCTTGCGAGAGTGGCTCTCAATTGTGTCCTCCCTTCCAGACATCGACCGGGTCTCCATGTCAAGGTGCTTCCTCCCTCCAGGGAAATGCAGGGTTACCCTGCACGGATTTTGCGACGCCTCTGAGAAGGGTTACGCTGCTGTTGTATATTTGCGGACGGTGAGCTCTTCTGGCCATACTTCCGTCCATCTCGTACTTGCTAAAAGCAAAGTGGCTCCCATTAGGTCCCGCTTAACTATCCCTAAGTTGGAACTGTCTGGAGCTGCTCTTCTCACGCGACTGCTCAACCACGTTCACTCCTCCTTGAAGTCGGTAATCGACATTACGGACGTCTACGCTTGGTCGGACAGTGAGATAGTACTTTGTTGGCTCCGAGCGGCACCTCACAATCTTGAGGTCTTCGTGTCGAACCGCGTGTCCCAAATCCAGAATTCTGTCACTTGTCTAACGTGGAGACATGTCCCAGGGGAATTGAATCCAGCAGACTGTGCTTCTCGTGGCTGTGAAGCCTCCTACTTGGTTGATCACCCGCTGTGGTGGGGGCCCGGCTGGTTAGCTGAGTCTCAGGCGTTCTGGCCCCAGAACAAATACTCTGAACCAATTGAATTGCCTGGCCTACGAGCCCGAGTAGGAGTGGTCAAGGATAAGCCCACTCGTGATCTCTCCTTACTAGAACGGTACAGCTCTCTCGACAAGCTCTTGGGAGTAACGGCTTGGTTGCGTCGATTTGTCCGCAACTCGAGAGACCCATCTAACCGAATATCTGATTCCGCCTTGTCCCCTAGCGAGCGGCGCGAAGCCTTGATGCATTGGACCCGTATGATCCAAGCGGAGCATTTCGAGCTCGTGATTGATACCTTGAAGCGGGGCTTAGTTGTCAAGGGTGCGCTGGCCCGCTTGAACCTCTTCCTGGATGACTCGGGGATGCTTCGCGTGGGCGGACGTTTGAAAAATTCTCAACTGCCGTACGAGGCTCGACACCCTCTACTGCTCCCCAAGGACGGCGCCTTGGTCCGGTTGCTGGTAACTCACTACCATGTTCAGAATGCCCACGCTGGGTGCAACGCTCTTTCGGCCATTTTGCAGCGGGAGTTTTGGATTTTGGCGGGTCGACGCACCATTCGGAGCGTCATCTTTAAGTGCATATCTTGTTATAAGTTGAAGGCGCCCATATCACAGCCGATGATGGGCGACTTACCACCCGACCGCGTCAGAGCCATCCGACCATTCGCGGGAGTCGGAACTGACTTCGCTGGCCCCTTCCTCGTCAAGTCCTCTAACCTTCGTAACGCGCGTGCTCATAAGGCCTATCTGTGCGTTTTCGTGTGCCTCTCCACTAAGGCTGTTCACTTAGAACTTGTAAGTGCCCTTAGCACGGAGGCCTTTTTGTCCACACTGGGTCGCTTCGTATCGCGTCGCGGTTTACCGGACCTGATCCGGTCGGATTGCGGAACGAATTATAAGGGTACTGATAGGTATTTGAAGGAGGTCGTTGAATTTCTGTCTAGCAACAGGACCTATTTAACTACTGCGATGTCCAAGAAGGGCATCCAGTGGAAATTCGACCCTCCGGCTTGCCCACACTGGGGCGGTATTTTTGAGGCGGTGGTGAAGGTTGCAAAGACGCATCTCCGTCGCGTTATTGGCGAAACTATTTTGACATTTGAAGAGCTTGCCACCGTATTCTGTAAAATTGAAGCAGTCCTCAACTCTCGGCCCCTCGTCCGATCCGAATGATTTAGAGGTTCTAACCCCTGGCCACTTCCTGATAGGCCAGCCGCTTAACGCCCTGCCCGAGTACCCCTTCCGGGAAATAGTCTCTTCGCGGCTGAGCAGATTTGACATGCTGCAACAAATAACTCAGAGCTTTTGGCACCGATGGTCTCTGGAGTACCTACATCTTTTGCAGCAGCGCGTTAAGTGGTCTGACAAGACGGACCCCCCCTCGGGTTGGAGACCTCGTGTTAGTTAAAGAACCTAACGCCTCGCCCTTGTATTGGCGCCGTGGGCGCATTGTCAAGTTGTCGTATGGACCGGATGGGATCCCTAGGGTGGCCGAGGTTTTGGTTGGAGATTCGGTTTTGCAACGTGCCGTCTCTACCCTATCCCGTTTGCCAATTTACTCGCGGACCTAGATCCTCATGTCCGGGACGGGGGCTTGTTTAGGCCTGAGTCGGCGCTCGGGTCGAGCGGGAGGCGCGCCTGACGGCGGAGGCGCGGGGGGTGCGGGCTGGTACGGCGCCCGGCTGCGCCGGCGTCGGGTTTTGCACTTCACTTGTCGCAGAGCGTGGAACTGAGTAGTTGCCCGTTGTGTTAATAGCTTCGTCGCACCTCTGCCTTAACGTATATACTTCGCGAACCTGAGTAGTTTGCCGCGCGGCCCGGTGATATTGCATTTTTCACAAAGGTCGAGTTTGTATGTGACGCGCGTTCGGTTAAATCTTGTTGGACTTTATTGGATTAACCTAATGACAATTGGCTTGTCTCCAATTAACAAGTGAGAAACGAGTGTAATTTACTAGATTCTTAAATTTTTGTGACGGACTGCCACTTCGATATAAAGAATAGAGGTGAAGCCTTGGGGTCGGCGGTTCTGCAACCAGCGGGAAGTCAGGTTACATAATTTAACACAATCCCACCACAACACAGTCAAGCACACCCACACTTACACCTGAATCTTCCTAAGATAGACCCTACTTCGAAGAAATAGGTAAGTTTTTGTTTGGTCCCCTTTTTTACCGCTAACGTGTAATATTCCACAAGCCATTTAGGCCGACCTCCTGTTGCTCGTCGAGTGGAACTCCTGATGGGCCCGAGTTCCACGACCTTGCCCGGGTAACTAGAGGCCGTAACAGTAGTTATTGCAAATGGTTCGTTATTGTTCCGAAAAAAGTATAACTTTAGGGCTTTTTAGGTAAACTAAAGTGTTATTTTTAACATAATGATTTGAAATTGTTTCTGTTTTAACTTAAATTAGCTTTGTATAATAGAAGTTATTAATTCAATGTTATCTTGTAGAATGATGCCACAACGACTATTGAAAATAAGGAATTTTAATAAACCACCTGATTCAAGAGATCAGAGAGAATCAGATGCTGTTTCAAACAAAGGAATACTGAATCTGTCTAAAGAAGGTAAGTTTTATTGTTCAAAATTAGTGTGTAATCGAATTAATTATAGTAGTCATTTTACGTCACTATTTGTGAAATATTTATTAATATTAAGAATTGTTCTATTTTTGTGAGTCAAATTTTTATTTTTTTACTTGTAAATTTTTTATATAAAAAAATTCTTTAGAGACAAACCAAGACAGTTTAGTCACAGGTGAAGCCAAAGAAAATTTACTTGCCGAATACGAAAAACATCATGCTGAAAAAGACATGTCCAGAAAATAAAAAGAGGCGGACAAAAACAGTGTCGATACCGTTATTGTAGCGGTTTATGATTTACAGGCGTTTTTGCCTTGTCCCCGTGGTGATGTTTCTACCTTCTATTATTTATCTAAATTAAACGTTTTGAATTTCACAATATATAATTTAAAAACTAAAGAAGTAGAATGTTATGCATGGCACGAAGAGATGGCCACAGGGGAGTGAATGAAATTGCTTCTTGTATCTAGAAGTATCTAGATACACTTGTCAATAATGCGACAGAACACATTTCACATGGTTTTTTATAGTGACAATTGTTGTGGGCAGCAGAAGAATAAATTCATGTTGCACACCTAATCTGCTAGCTTTAAGTAAGTTTCCTAAATTATTGTCAATAAGTTATAAATTTTTGATAAAGGGCGTAGGCATAGCGCTAATGAAGGTGACAGTGCCCACTCACTAAAATATGCTGCAATTTATTCACCAGATCAATATTATTATTTGATACGTTCGGCAAAAGTAAGTGGCAAGCCTTTCGTCTTAAACGAATTGTCATACAACGCATTTTTTGACATCAAAGCTATTTCTGACCAGATAAGTAAAGCATTGCCATAAAAAATACTGCCAATTAACTTGTTAAGGAGTGATTTTCTCTTGGGTTTTTGTGAAGAGTTACATAATGTTCAGTTTATAATAATTATCTTATGTGGTATTTATGTTTTCTTTGTTTGGTATTCGTTATTTAGTATAATATTAATGATGCAGGGTAGGTACTAACTAATCTCAATGATGAAAAGAGTTTATTTTGTAATAACTATTTAATTTTGTAGTTTTCTTTCCATAGTTTTCGATAATCTTTGTTATATAAAATAAGATTAATGGTATTGTTTAACTGATTCCTATTAGTTACTCTACCAATGTCAATCACGACAAAATATTAATAATACAGAAAGACATGGTGCCAGGAAATTTGGTTATTGTAATGATTCTTAAGATTACGAGTTATATAATTTATACGAAACAATAGACTTTTTTATAACAATATTTTGGTTTTCAATCGGTATTATCTTTGAACTAGTACTAAAAATTTGAGAAACAAGGTAATAGTTTTTTTTTTCAAAACATAATAATTAAATTATTAATGTGAAAATAAATACTAGCTAAAATAATTACTAATTACAACAAATCTCACAAAAAAATATGGATAATATTAATGGAACCCCAGAATTCAATTTAATAAAAATAAATAATTTTGAGTTAAAACTTTGTTTTACAAATATTTTATGTTATAAAGGGTATTATTATACACCTTTCTGAATACTTTCAGGATTTTTCAAAACCACTAAACTAAATATAAGTAAAAAATTGCGAAATATTGTCAAATATGTAGGCTTAAAATGTATATAGGTCAAGTCGGCTAAATAATAATAAAGGCTAAATTATTCCTGGGTGAAACTTAAAAAAATGCTCTCCTGAAAAATCCTTCCTGACCAACGATAATAACCGTAATAACTGACGGATTTTGGGGTAAACGAAGTTACGGGACAAATTTCAATTCCTTGTCGGGGGTTGGTTGCATCATAGGTTTTAGGACTAAGAAAATATTATTCATTGGGGTCAGGAACTCTTATTGTTGCATTTGTGCTGTAACTGCAAAGCGGAAAACTGAAGTTCTTGCTCACTAATGTTATAAAAATTGGTTTGGCCCTTTAACTGAAATGGAAACTAATGCGATCGTAGAGGGATTCAAAATAAGTGTTAGTATGCTGGACTAAGTATTTATTGGCGATGGTGATAGCAGCGTATGTAATGCTTTGAGAGATACAAAGCCTTATGGACCAAATCTCTATATAAGAAGAATAGATTGCTCCAATCATTTGATGAGGAATTACTCAAATAAATTGAGGAAAATTGTAAAAATACCGAAAATAGGAATGGACCAGTACCTGTCACATTACGCAAAGCACTGAGTGACCGTATTCGAAGCCTTCATAAATCAGTCACTGGAGCTATAGAACACTCTGCAAAGCTGGACTTACCATAAGAGGGAAAAATAAAGAGCTTGAAAGAGGTCCTACTGAACGGTCCATGTCACGTTTTTGGTTTTCATAATTCGTGCAAGAATTATTTTTGCAAATATTAAAATATAGTGGAGATGAATTTGGTCCCTCAACTGAAAACGTGTGGGATATGGGCTGACATTTATGAGAATCTGGGATGGCTGACACAGAATGCAGAAAGTCTCCTTCTGAAAGAAACAAATAACCGAGCAGAACATTTTAACTCAATCATAGCAAAGTTCCTTGCTGGGAAGCGAGTAAACTTCCCTCCGAGGAACTTATGAAAAAGATGCTACGCAGCAGTTTCCGAGTACAACACCAAAGAATACAAGCTAGTTCAACAGATACAGAAAAATAATAATATTTTCAACACATAAGTGTGACGACAACATTAAAAATACATGACAAATTCAACAACATTAAAAATACGCAAAAAATATGTGACAAAAAAAATTAAAAATAAAATAAAACGGAGAGCTGAAGATGCACTACGGGGGATAAAGCGAGCAAAGCGATCAAAACCGGCAGACCAGCATTACGGCAACGTAACAAGTGAGCCTGATTTGCCGATGGATGTTTACATAACAAAAAAAGTGAATTCCTTGAGTCACTGCAAAAGACATCTTCGGAAATATTATCCTTAGAAAGATACAGTTGACCAATCTAACCCCGATACATGGATTGTGAAACGCAGAAAAAGAATAACTGCTTCAATGATTGGTCAAATTTGTAAAATGAAGCCTACAACCCCATGCACCTCCATAAACAAAACAATGCTATATTCGATATTTACTGGAAATGATTCCACAAAATATGGAGTCAAATGAAATAACAGCTCTAAAAGAATTTGCAAATGAGCTCAATATGGCTGTCACTCCTTGTGGGTTATTTGTTGATGATGAATACTGTTTCCTTAGTGCAAGTCCGGAATTGTCGAAATTAAATGTCCATCTTCGGCTTATGCGTTGACGCCATTAGAAGCTATAAAAAGTAAAAAAGTTGTCTTCTGAACAGAAGATGGAGGTGGTATCAAATTGAAAAGAAACCATAATTACTATTACCAGGTCCAAGCCCAACAGAAAATTGCGAAGAAGAGTTTTTGTTACTTTGTTATTTGGACGCCAAAGGGATTCTTGTATGAAAAGATATACAAAGATCCAACTTTTTGGTCAGATGATAAAATGTTGAAACTGACGCAGTTCTACTTCAAATGTGTTCTGCCAGAAATTATTGACCCACGTTTCCCGCACAAACTGCCATTGAGAGATAGATTCGATGATTGACTGTATTAGATAATAATAAAAAAATTTTTTCTAAATTTTCAATCACTTCTGACGTTTTATGTATTGTTTGTAAAGTGTAACAAAGTTCTTTAGAATAAAAATTGATATTTACCCAACTGTATTCAGACTACTTTATTTGATCAACCGATTGTACTACGGCACAAATTAGTACCTATACAAACATACATTGTCCATCCATCCATCCATGGTCCTTCACCGCTGGCCGTATGAGGACGCTCAAGGTCGCTCAGCTAGCTATGCTCGGAGTTTCACTGCGTGATAGACTCAGAAATGAGCATATCCGCAGTAAAACCAGAGTGACCGACATAGCCCAACGGATTAGTAAGCTGAAGTGGCAATGGGCCGGCCATATAGCTCGAAGAACCGATAACCGATGGGGAAGAAAGGTTCTCGAGTGGCAGCCTCGTACCGGTAGGCGTAGTGTAGGGCGACCCCCCACTAGATGGAGTGACGACCTGGTAAGACATGCAGGAAGTCGATGGATGCAGGTGGCTCAGGACCGTGCTTTGTGGCATTACTTGGGGGAGGCCTATGTTCAGCAGTGGACTTGTGAAGGGTTGTAATGATGATGATGATGATGAAACATACATTTGTAGTCATTTACACACAGTAAGTACATTTTAAATATTTATGTACGTTACCTAATTTCCGCATCCTCTAATATAATACTAATACAGACAAACTGGATATAGAATTTATTCTGCTTCTACTGCTACTCCTAAGCAGAATAAATTATTTACCTTTACTTTTTCGTGCTCTGTTTAGGTATATTATGATGGACGAACAAAAAAAGTCAAACGGAACTCCCTGCTAAAACAAAACTGAGTCTGGTCTATGTGTGTGTATACGTTTGCACGTGTAATGCCCGACTAATGTGTGAATGTGTCCGGGCTTGTACGCACGACTACCAAACAAGTTTTACTAAACCAGTTTATGTGCATCTTTCATTGTACGGGAAATTGATACAAAGCGAGGCCATTGTATACTGGAATGTGTAGCTTTATGTGTCGCCGAGTGTACTTACAGCGAGTTGGTGTGACACAGTTTTTTATTAGCGAGAGTCTGTCTGTCTTTCTTCGTCCATGAGGTACTTGTATATATGAAATACGAAAAAGCTAATGTATGTTATAAATAATTTCCATATTGTTAAAAAGAGCGCACGTATGGTACGTAGATTGGTAAAAATACAACACAAATAAATCTCCGAGGCCAAGCGTTACGTCCATACTAGACAAAGTATTTAATATAATAAAATAAAACGGTACTAAATGTAGGTATGCACCTGTCCTGTATGCAGAGAAATTTAGAAAACTATGGCTATGCACACGTGAGGCCATAGCAGCGAGACGCGCGCGCACAATTCAATATTATTGTCATGAATGGCTTACAGGCTTACACTAGCGGTCGACCGCCTGCGAATGAGCGGCGAATGTTACCGAATGCCAACCGAGCGCTCAGGCGCTATCTCTCTCTTTTCGTTTTGCCTCTTTTTCTAACATTGCGATGGATGAAACAACAAGCTTTTAAACCATGCTCGCGTTGACGATAGACGGGCCGGGAAGGGCCCTCTTAATTCTTAAGACTGACTCTCACGGTGGTACGTAAAGATTACGCTAGATGTCACAAACACGCTATCGGCTAATTTAATAATTCAATATCT